TGTTGTTTTTCAAAACGAGTGTTTTTCAAGGGGATTTTGTTTGAAAAATATCTCGTACGCCTATGGATGGTAAAGCTGCACCCATTTAGACGCCTTTTATGGGTCCCAAATGAACGAGGTTAATTGCCAATAAACAAGGGGTGGAGTCATACAATCCATAGGCGTACCTTTTTTGGTTAAACATTGGGGGAATAGACAAAATTTAAGTTGGAAAAACTGAGAATTAACTAGAAAAAATAAGAGATAAAAGGACCAGAATCGGCACTCAGTACCTACCTATCTCTCATTGGTTGTCAGCCATTTGTAGACTGTCGGCCATTTTGTATTACATTACAACCAATGAACGGCCCGAAAAAAGAGTCTAATCGAGCTGTAGGAAATAACTAGCCCTTATTGGCCTACGGAGGAGCCTAATGGAGGGATCATTCCCTGATTGGCCAGAGAAAAGAAAAGGGGTGTTGGCTGAAGCGACAAGAACTCTACTTCAATGTTTTTTCCCTTCCATGCATTTGAATTTCCTTCATTGACTAATTCAAGAGCTGGGAGCTGGAAATACACAAAAAATGACATTTGACCTAAATTTCAGACATTTGACAGAAATATTATTAGTACACTGTTGTCACGTTGTACCTAATTTCTAAACCTTTTTTTTTTTTCATTGGCTACCTTACCGTAATTTGTAATTCATTATTTTTTAGCCTCCTCACTTGAAATAGTCACGAGGCGCCACTGGCGAACACTCGATCGACCTACGAATGGAGAATCATACAAAAATATACAAAACTGGATTGGAAAGGAATCAGAGTCACTTCAATTCATCGATTTTTTTTTAATGAAAGCAAACCAGAAGTAAATCTGAGGTTCAGAATTAGAATTATCGTCCTCAATACTAAACCACATTGTAAAAACTTCATTTGTTATATCACCTTCTGAGTAGATGATTGGACCCAGTCAAGAAATTAGCGATAGGGGTCTTTTTATTGAATAAAATAAATTGGAAGTGAATCAGATGCTCAGAAAAAAAAAAACAATTATCTTTTTTTCACAAAAATACCAAAAATTCCTGATAAATCATCTTTGAGAGCTTCTGAAAAATACTTGAAACTTTGAGGAATTATCAATCGGGGTCTTCTTCTGAAATAAAATAAATTGAAAGTGAATAAGATACTCAGAAAAAGAAGAATGATTTTTTTTTTCACAAAAGGAGAGGAGAGCTTTTGAAACTATAGATAGATTGACATTGTTAAAAAAAAATGGAAAAATTAGGAATGGGGGATAAGGTTTTAAATTGGTTCAAATCATATCTGTCTAATAGAACTAAAAAAGTTAGATATAAGAATAAGGTGTCTGGTTTGTTCAATACAACCTACGGAGTGCCTCAGGGAACTGTGTTAGGGCCCTTATTGTTTTTAATGTATGTCAATGACATTGTTAACATGATTGATGGTAGTAATATTGAATTGTTTGCAGATGATACAATGTTATATATAGTTGGTAACGATCTGAACCAAATGAAACTCACTATTAACAATGATCTGAATCAATTATTTGAATGGTTGTGCAAAAATAAATTGAGCATTAATGCTTCTAAATCTAAGTTTTGTATATTTGGGAAAAAACAGAAATTGGCTAGTATTGATTTGGAAAACATAAATATTGAAATAAATAGTGAAAGGTTACTACATGAAAATAAAATAAAATATCTTGGAGTCATTTTGGATTCAGAACTAAGCTTTCGCCAACATGCTGATTATATAATGAGGAAATTTTCTCAAAGAGTAGGGTTCATTTACAGAGTTGGCAATAATCTCTCTATGTATACCAAGTACCTTATGTACAACTGCATAGCAGTACCCCACCTAAAATTTTGCTCTACACTATTGTATAACTTACCTAACTTTAAGAGAAATAAATTTCAAGTAATTCAAAATAGAGCTCTAAGAACAATTTTAAAATGTAATAGATACACTCCTGTAAACGTGATGTTAAATGTTGTGAATATCATGTCGATTAAACAAGGAATTATTTATGATGTGTGTTAGGGCCTCTAACTGAGGTGTCAACATTTAATTTAGGGATAGATCACTGGATCATAAAGGGGATGGGGATGTCACTGCTAAATAATGCACTCACACTTCCAGTTTTATATCTCTCTATTGTTGCCAAAATAATCGTTTAATAAAGTAATAAATACTGTAACCACATTCAAGTACTTTTAATTATTCACAGGTTAGTTAACAAGTCGCATTTGAGTTATTCGAGAACATTCACTAATCGGTATAAATTCACTAGTTGCTAAGTGCTCAATAGTCAATTTAACAATAATTGTCAGTATTAGCGGAACGCTAATATTTTAATTGAGAGCACAAGATAAAGTTTATTCTTAATAGAAATCTTCGGGAGTTGAGAGTTTTTATATTTTTAGAGAGCCATTAAAAAAGGGGAGTGTGATTAACTCAATGTTTTACGCGATATTATATCACTTGAGTTTTCAAGCCAGCAGCCAGAGAGATAAAAAAATAAGTCTTTTTATTTAGAGAGCGAGAGAGAGAGAGACTGCATAAGGGTGCAACTAGAGAGAATAATTAAATAATTAGAGAAAAGTGAGCAGGTTCAAACTTGTATAGAGCTAGACGTTTTTGCGCATTATTTACTGCTAGTGAAACCACACTACTAAAATCACACTGCTAAAAATCACACTGCGAAGTGAAAAAGATAAGGAATGCATTTTTTCCCTTAGCGACAACAACCAGACTGGGTCGATGCGTACAGCCTGGTACGGTGCCAGCGGCAAAGTTTTACGGCGGGGGGCTTTTTTGCAACGTTGCCACTGTAATCATAAAAAATAAATACGATTGTTTGGCTGTTTCCACAACAATGTGAATGTCTTTTTGTACAAAATAAGAAATAAGCTGCTACCTGAATATGTCTGTGATAAAGTAAAGTATTTTAAGAACGTTCATAATTACCAAACAAGAAACTGTGATGATTTTATCCTAATCGATAGGTATTGCTCAAACCAAATGTCAAATTTTATTCTTTATAGAGGACTATCTGAATATAATAAAATGCCAAATAATATAAATTGTGATAACTTTAATAACTTTAAATCTTTGATGAGGAAATATGTTGTGTCCAAATTTTAAATATCTGTAAATTGTTATGTCATCTAATTGAATTGTTATTTTATTTTATTGAACTGCATATTATATCATTATATTTGTTATACTTTTGTGTGGTCTCTCAATAGAAGAGATTGTTTTTGTATGTACCTAGCCCAAAGCTAATAAATATACTATTATTATTATTAAAACTTTCTTCCTATTGAAAAAAATCAATCAAAAGTCCAAAAATACAATTTTTTTTTTCTGGTAGATACAAAAAATAAAAAATTTCCTATTAAATCAGCTTGGAATTTTTTTGATTATCGTTCACCAATCGTCCATCTTGCCTCGTCTTCATTTTATTTATTTTTAATCTGCTTTACGTATTTGAGTCATTAAGTAATTTCTAAAAGTAAATACAAATTATATTGTACTTTCTCCAAATATAGCGTGAAGAAGATTCACTTTAATAATGAGACGTTGCGTTTTGTTTACGGTTCATCCTTTATTAGAAACGGATTTTGTCGCAAAAGTTTCTAATGAACATCATTAATAAAAACATTTTCAAGACACCAAAAAAAATTTTAGTACAAATTTAACTTTTGATATATTCCTTTGTATACACATGCACATACATATATTAGCGCCATTCACTAATTCCTGCGCAATGATTAATTATAGTTTTGAGAACAATTATATAAGAAAAATAATTAAAAATTTAATGCAATTAGTTAAGGTATAGACACCTAATTAACATCCGGCCCAAATATGAACTGCATTAATTATCAAACAATTTATGGTAAATTACCACAATCCTAATGTTTCTTATCTGAGTAAATTATTACTTACACTAAACTCAAAATATGTTGTCATAGAATTATTTCTCAGTTTTTGGTACATTACAGAGGCCTACTGAAACAATAAATTGTTGTTAAAAACTCTGAAGAAATGCACAAGAAAATACCCATAAATTAATGATTTAATTGAAGAGGAAATGCATGTAACAAGTATCGAGACAGGAAGAATATACGTGAATGAACGTCCTTGTCCTTGATCTTTTCAGTTGAACTAAATCTTGTCAATTAATAAAGTGAACATTTTTGCAAAAAAAAAAAAAATCTAAAAATTATTACCTTGATCAGCCCAAGTTGGGCAAAAATAATCCGGTTTGCAGAGAAAATAATTTTGGGTGCACCATAAAACGCAGACTCATTTTGTTTTCATTGTATTTCATAACTTTTAACTTTCACCGTGATATTTTGCGATGTTACCCAATAGTTTACCTACCGGCATATTTTTTTTTTATACATATATTTATTGTTTCTACTTTTTTTGTATATTAAGATGTCTTTTGCCACTTGTTTGGAAACTCTCCTTCCATTAAACATTTCAATTATTTCACCAATAATAATTTGATCTTCACCTATGGGATTTTTATATATTTCATTCGATGTTATGCTGCTTTTAGTCGTTGAGTATTTATTTTGAGAATTTCTTTCTATGCTACATTCTGTATCTTTCTTCTTCGATATTGATTATCTTGGATTTTGTACAGATTTTTGTAAAAAAAAAAAATTCATTTTGGTTGTTAACTATAGTACCACTTCTGGCCTTGTGTCTGTGAACTTTTCAATTGTATTTTTGTTTATTTGGATTCTTTCGATTATTTCTCCTGATTTTCTAATTCTTTATAAAGTCAAATTTTCAAGCTACCATATCGTTCAACTATAACATAATTTCCACACATAGAATTAGAATTTGCAATACTTATCGAGTGCAAGGTATTAAAACGGTCCATACCTTAATATTCTTATGATTGTTGTTGCGTGTCTAACATTAAAAATGCTGCAACATTTTCTTTAAAAAAAAAACTAATTCTAATTTTTTTTTTTTTAGTGGATGATGCAAGTGGTAGATATTCAACCGGATGGTTTTGGGGCAACCATTATTGGGTCGGCTCTAAAAGTTTATGCGACAATATCGTACCGAGTCCAAACGGTTTTACGGTTAAGGTTGGTATTACAACCGCAAAATGCATGACTATTGTTTTAATTGCACTTTAAACATATTTTACAATCACTTTAATGTGCATATTTTGAAATTTGACATGCATTTATTGCAATTGACTCGTGTAAGAAATATTAATCATATTTTTTACTAGGATCGTTCTAGAATAGTAAGAATGGCCTCGCTTAATCGCGAACCTGACAGTCCTAGCCAGGCAGTGGGTTATCAAAAAGGTCCTTTAGTCCACACATCCTTGCCACCATTTTCCGTGTCCTTTTTCATGCTGAGAATCGATGTGAATTCCAGTTTCACCACCGAAGAACGTGTATTATCCATAGGGCTGTGCCTTCCGTATGTTTGTACAGACGAAGATGTCAAAACGATTCTTGAAGAAACTTCTGGAGCATCCGATAAAGTCGCAGTCGAAGTTATTACAGTCAAATCGCATCATAACCGTTATAAAATTTGGCAGGACAGGACTTTTTTGGCTTTATGGTAATTTTTTGATGCATCATAATGTAGATTAACAAATTTAATTATTATAGTGTTGCAACAGCTATAATGGGATGCTGCCTCACTGTTGGAACTTTATTCGACTATTATTTGGAATATCAGAAAAATAGGAGAGTGGAAACTATAACAAAAAGATGTTCGGTGCCTAGTTTGAAATCGACAAATGGTAAGATAGGAAATTATTTTTTTTAAATGAAGGGTTTAATTGAATTTATAGGTAAATCTGGTATTTACGTTGTGAATACCAACGACGGCAACAATAACGGGTCTCCAGTAGACAATTCCGCAACTACGGAACCACGCCAAACCGTTATGAGTATGTAATTTGATTTTTGGGCTGGATATAAGTTGAAATATTAATACGGATGTTTCTTTGGGCTTTTAACAGTTTATAATTTTCATTTTGATGGTACTCTATAGTTTTAGACTCTTTAAGTTTTTGAAATTAACCTTTTCTATACTTTTTAATCAATATCTATTTGTGTAGTGGAGGTTGTTACTAACCCAAACACAATTTTGTATCGTTTTCAGTTTTTATTAAAGTATAAGATAAAAAAGATAAAACCATACATGGAGCAGATTTCTCAAAAACAAGGATTAATTGCCAAAAATCTTCAGAAAACGAATCAGAGGTTTTTATTTATCTTGATTTCGTTTGATTTGAACGAGTTTTGATTATCTTTTGATACCAAATCATTGAAATTACCAAGCAAGGTTTAAAAATCATTAAAGAAACAAGATAAGCTCTTATCTGAAGCAGAATTCTATAGAATTAACGAATATTCCTCAAAAAAAACTACACAAAGAGGCTTATGTCAATCGTTTTTAGTCAGTTTTTGATAAATTTTCGACACAAAATCAACAAAACAAGGTACAAAAAGCATTAGAGAAACAAGATAAACCAATTTCCATAAAACAAAGAATGTATATCAACAATCTTTGAAAAACTAACTAAAGGGCGTTGATTTCAATCAGAGTGAGAGCGTTTTTAGTAAATTTGAGCTTTCCTTGATACAAAATCATTGAAGAAGACCCTAAAAAACATAAAGAGAAAAAAAGATAAACCCATATTATCTTGAGCAGACTCTGATAAAACAAATAATGTACGACGATAATCTTCAAAGAACTAATTGAAATCTCCTCACTAAAGCTGATTTTCTTGCTCCTTTCCAGCAAAGATTAACCCTTTTGCTATACCAGCACCACCCCCACCTAATGCTCCTAGAGCAGATAATCCAGCAAATAATTCGTTTAGTATCTCAACAAAAAATGTAGGTATATTGAAAGTTTTTAAAGGACGAATCAAAGCTTCTCAGCAAGGGGCAAATCACCTAGAAATTCTTTGCCAAAACTGTGAGGAATTTAGAGGAATTTGTAGGGAATTTGGAGGAATTTGCGAGAAATTTAAAGGAAATTATGGGAAATTGGAAGAATGTATAAGGAATTCGTGGAATTTATTGTTTTTAACACTGAGCGTAGTAAAAATAGAAAAATACATTTCTTATCATGAATAATTTTTGGGATTTTCAGAATTGTTTGCAAAAATTCTGGAGGGGGCTAGTTTATTTCATAGACCTTATTAACCTTGGTAAAAATCAAAGTCAAAAAACCTCGAAAAAAACTTTGGTAGCTGCATTGAAATTATTCACTAAGGAATTTGTAGAGGATTTAATTGGCTTTATTTCAAGCCTAATAACGTTATAATCAGATTGAAATTCACAAAGTAATGAGACAAAATGTGTATCAATGATATTTCGGAAAAAATCGAGGAAAAAATCAAGCTTTAAAAAACGGCATTGAATGACGTTTTATTTTTTTCTGAGGAAAGCGTTTTAAGGATTGGCTTGAATTTTTGCAAGTGGATAAAGATTGGTTCGAAATTTTGCAGGTGGATGAAAGAAGGATTGAAACTTAAGAAAAAAAAAATAAAAATTTGCTTTTATGCGCTCACCTTTATAATAAAAGTCAAAAGGCTTTAAAGCTTTGCTACGAAACTATTGAAGTTGCATTGAAAATGTTCAGAGAAGATTTGTGAAGGATTTAATTGGCTTCATTTCAAGCCTAATTACGTTGAGATCGGATTGAAATTAACAAAGATGTGGGGCAACATGTGGTTCAATGTCATTTTGGAAAAAATGAAGCTTCAAAAAACGATATTCAAGGCCCTTTTTTTTTGAGGAAAGCGTTTGGAGGATTGGCTCGAAATTTTGCTAGTTGAGGAACGAAAGATTGAAATTTAGGAAAAAATAAAAATTTCCTCCTGATTATTCACTTTTAAGGAGCAAATCAACTAGAAATACTTTGCCAAAACTGTGGGGAATTTAGAGGAATTTGTGCGGAATTTGGAGGAATATGTGGGAAACTTGAAGGAATTTATGGGGAATTGGAGGAATGTATAAGAAATTATAAATAAAAATAGAAAAATACATTTCTTATCATGCATAATTTTGGTGATTTTCATGGAATTTGTAACAGGCATTTGCAAGGAACTTGCGAGCAGTTTGGAGGAATTTGCAGGGAGTTTGGAGGAATTTGGAAGAATTTGCGGGTAGTTTGAGGAATTTTTTGCACAAATTCGGGGAAATGGTATAGCCCATGCTTCTCGGGCTAATTGCGACCGATTCGAGCAAGCTTTTTATAAATTTTACCGTTTTTTGCCCCAAAAAAACATCAAAACAAGAATCAAATGCACAAGATAAAAACCATTTATCTACGGCAGAATTCTGTAAATCAACCAACAGCCTTCAAAAACCTAACAAAATGCTCTTATATACACGAGTTGAATTCAATCAATCTGAGCAAACGTTTCTTGGTGATACAAAATCATCAAAAGATTCAAAAAACAGGAAAAAATCAAAGGAAAACAATCCACAAAAAAAAACAAATTTTAGACTGATTTTGTTCAATTTGAGCTGGATTTTCTGATACAAATTATACCCTCTAAACCACCCAATCCAAACACAAAATGTTCTTCCTGCTTAAAAAAAAATGTCTTTTCTTACCACAAAATCTTTGATCAATTATTGATTTTTTCAACCAAATTTCCAGGACTTATCTTCAGAGAAATGCTGCTATCCTTCTCAATAAGAGCAAACCTGAAAACTATCTGTGACCAATCAGTAGGTAGCGATACCATCCCAGTACTCCACGGACTCAAAGCCATAAGTATGGCTTGGGTAATTTTAGGACACACCTGTATAGTGGCTTTCAAATATTCGGGTAAGTCCAAAAAGAAACTATACTCCCTGACAAAACTATCGCACCACTGCTTATGTGCAGTGGTGGTGCGATAATTTTGTCCAGGAGTATATTTAAAATTCACTTACAAATCTATTTTAGATAACATGGAGTTCAGAAAAGTCGTTCAAAAAGAGTTTTGGTTTCAAACAATTTCCAATGGAGCTTTCAGCGTTGATACGTTTTTTTTCGTCAGTGGTTTATTAGTCTCGTTTCTTTACTTTAGGACTAATGCCAAAGGAAAACTTGATCCTTTATCCAAAGGGAAAAATAGCTTTGTAGCTGGACTTTTGCATTTTCTTGGGCTGATTGCTTACAGATTTGCAAGGTAAGACTTCTATATATACACAAATCGATTGACTGATTTATTTTTTTACATAGACTTACTGCCCCGTATGTATTTTCAATGGGAGTCACAGAAGTGACAATGAAATGGTTTTATTATAATTCAGTATTTGAACCTCCTACGAATGACCATATTAATTGTCCTAATTATTGGTGGAGAAATGTTTTGTACATAAATACTTTGTTTCCTGTTAGCGAAATGGTAAGTTCCTTTAAAAAAAGCCTAATTTATTAACAACAATTTCCATTTACAGTGTATGCTATGGAGTTGGTATTTATCAGACGACACTCAATTTTTTGTAATTGGTGCTATCCTTCTTATCATAGCAACTAGGTAAAAATTAACTTATTATATCATCGAAAATATTAATCAAAACATCTTTTAGTCACTTCAAAAGTGCAGCAGCAGTTTTAGTAATTTTTTCGGCCAGTTCTTGGATGACTACAGGCTATATTGCTTACAGTAACAATCACATGCCTGGATCAGATGATCCTTTGGCATTATTTGACAAAATTTATGATAAACCTTATACCAGATTGGGGCCTTATTTAATAGGAATGTGCGCAGGGTGGTTGTTGTTTAAAAAAGATTGCAGAATACCAATGTCAAAAGTATGCAAGCCGCCTTATTACGATTTACCTAATTTTTACACAATTTTTTTTTTTAGATAACATTAGCTATTGGTTGGTCTAGTTCTCTAGCCTTACTCTTAGCCCTAGTTTATGGATTATATGAAGCAAACTTATCACCCGCTGTAGGAGCAGCATACAGTTCCCTAAGTCACACTGCATGGGCTTTATGTCTTGCCTGGATCGTTGTAGCATGCGTCACAGGCTATGGAGGCTTCATAAACAAAATTTTATCCTTCCCCTTTCTCTATCCTTTCAGCCGAGTAACTTATTGCGCCTACTTGGTACATCCTTTACTTATAAGAGGCATGGTAATGAGTATGGATAGCCCATTGCATTTAGGCAGGGTACCCACTATAATAATATTTATGGGTCAAGCTACAGCGTCTTATATTTTGTCGTTTGTATTGTCTGTGACGTTTGAGGCACCTCTAGTGTCAATGTTGAGGATTATTTCTAAAGTTGTGGTACATTTGAAGACAACTTCAAATAGCGCAGCGTGAGTTTGATTAAAAAGTCGAAAACATTATTTAAGACTGAATCTTGAAAAAAATAGATTCTAAATGACATTTTTGTTTGATCAATATAAAAATTTTACAAGGTTTAATTAATGTGTTAAGTATTAAACTTTTATAATTATTGTGTATATGTCTGTGTGTGGTATTATTAAGATTTTTCTATTTCAATATTTAAGTGTGTAATTTATTTTAGATTAGGAATATGTAGTAGAATTTGGCAAATTTTGGTATTTTTTCTTGTTTCAAAATGAAAACCATTAAGTATCAAAATTTTATGTGTAGTATAGCCAAAGATAGTCAATACTGTGTCAGCTAATAATTCTTTTTGTACAGGGTGTTCTAACGAGGAGCGCACAGGGACTTATTTTTGACCTTCCCTGTACTTCTGAAAAAAATTAAAATTGGATTTTTTTTTTCTGAAGAATTGAAAAATGGTGTAACTATTTTGATTTTGGTACCATTTTTGAATTCTCCAGAAAAATATTCCAATTTTCATTCATTCATCGGTAATACAGGGAAGGTCAAAAATAAGTCCTTGTTCAGTTCTAGTTGGAACATAACTTTTTGTTGTAAATATATATTTCTTGTCAAGGTAGCAATTTTTTTTTCGAACCAGAAACTTCCCTACTAAACTTACTGCAAACAAATTTTATTAATTTCAATACCAATAATATATATAAATACAAAAAATTTAGGGTTATAGGTATAATAGGTAATATAATTCAATCAAAATTCAAGTACATATTACATTTGAGGTAATTGTTCAATTGGTGTTGCGAACTTGAAATCTGGTGGGAAAAGACTGGCTGCATGCGGATACATCAACTTATAAGATTGCCTTATAGTCACATCAGCAACACCAGCAATATCCCCAATTTCCTTCTGGCTTCTTTTATCTTCAGAAGCTTGAGAGGCCATATAAATAGCAGCTGCAGCAACTGATATCGGCGATCTACCAGGCACTATGTCAAGTTCCACAGCTTTTCTGGCAATATGTGTAGCAGCCCTTTGTACCATGTTGGGTAGTCCAAGATTTGAACAGAATCTGGACATGAAATCTCCAGTTGTGATAAGATCAACTGAGGTTTCTAATGCCTTTAGAATCAGCTTGAAGCACCTGCCAATTTCACGTTTGCTAATTTTGGAAACTGCACAAATTTCTTTGAAAGTACGTGGCACACCTTCTTGCCTACAAGCTATGTAAAGGCAAGCTGAAGCAATAGCATCATTTGAGCGTCCTTTTAGATTACGCCCATCATGGACTTGTTTAAACAAGTTATTCGCTCTGTCCACAATGGTCCTTGGTAAATTAATCCTGTCAGCCATAGCATTGATTTCTTTGAAGGCATTTATAAGAGCCCGGTCTGAACTGTTCATTGTGCGTCGATTTTGGTATCTGGCCACACCAAACGAGTCATAACTTGCATCACCCCTACCGGGGCCAATCATAGTAGTCAAATCTGAGCCTCCCAGTAGAGGATTTTCTGGACCACCGACACGAGAGGGATCGACGCCGTTTTTTTCGTTGCTAAAGGTTCTCCATTCTGAACCGACATCGATAACTCGGTCGCCAACTACTAAGCCACACTCTGAACAAATCTGGTCGCCTGCTCTGTAGTCTTCGATTAAGGGCGCGTCCGGATGAGAAGAACAGCAAACTTTGTTGGCATCGTATCTTGAAGTACTAGCACTTGCCATGACGATTTGTTTAAATAATGTTTTTATTGGTTTTTATTTTTAAACAAATTAAAAAGCTGGTCATGGAATTTGGAGTAAACAAAACAAACTTAGTTGGACTTGGAGCACTTACTTGTTAAAATCGATTGTACTTAGCACTAAATTGCTTTCTAATTTTTCAATTGAAGGACAAAGGTCTTTGGATTTATTAATTTTAATATTAATTAACAAACTTAAAATAATCACACACTCCTACTTGAAAAACATCTATGTGAAAAACAGAGGATAAAAAAATAAAAATAAAGATGACACTGACAGTGACAACAAGGCAAGGGGTTTTCGAAAACCAAGAAAACGCTATTCTCCAGGGGCGAGTTCAGGAATGACACACCCAGGGGCGAGTTCAGGAATAGTTGTATTCCTTTCAAGAGCTTGAAACACTCGAGCTACTCGCTTCGGTGCTTGCTCGCCCCCGATTTGCAGGGAACATATGCGTGGTGCAACAAACACTTTTCGAAAGGAATAAGCGCGTGAAGCCCCGGAGCTCCTCCTAGGTGTGAAAGGAATACAACTACTGACACACCCAGTGTGAGTGTGACACCGGTGCGAGGCCCTAGCTGTTCAAAAATGCTAGACGGTGCTATAGGCCCAATGGCCAATTGTCAATTCAGGCCAGGCACACCCATAAAATAGGGATGCGACATCGTGCACAAATTTCGATGTTGGACATCGATGGTAACATCGATGCAACCGATGTATCGAAGTGAAAACATCGATATTTTACAAACATCGATGTTTTGAGGGTAACATAGAGAAAACATGGAAATTTTCTATTTTAACAGAACGTTTAATAATAAAATGAAAAAAAAGTTTATTCTTGTTAAGTTAATAAAAACAATCACGTTTCCTACAGTCTAAAGTATAAACAAAATAGTATGTAGAATAGAATATTCAGGGGTGCGTTCAAGGACGACAAGCGTCTGCGGATCACACGGAGGCAACGCCACGAATATGGTTGGAAGTGTACGAACGAAAATTTAAAATTTGGCACGAAGCGACAAACGGCGGTTCACTAGCATTTTTGTTTACCTTCTCTTTATTTATTTGACACAAAATTATTATTTATAATTCGATAGTTTGTCTTATTATCAATGACATGAGAGGGAGTTTCGAGAAAGTATCACCTCCCCAAGAATTTAACATTTAATAATAAGGAAGACTTTAATGAGTAGAAAAGAAAATTAGAGCAAGATACCATCAGAGCACAGTTTATAAAATATGGAACTGTTAAGAGGAAAAATGGTACAATAATTATTTATTTTATTTATCGTCGAGATGGAAATTTACATAAACGCATTAAAACATTACGTAGGTATCACCGTATCACGCTCACATAAACAGGCTTTATTGAATATTGACTTATTATTTAATAGCCTCGCTCGCAAGCTCGCTCGGTCATAAAATTATTCGTACAATAAAGCCTTTCTTTATTGTACTTGATATTTAATGCTATTTATATAAATAGCTATTATTCAACAATCTAGATTAAATACTGTCTTTCAAAATCTTACAAAAACAGCTTGGTTGTGATACAGCCTACAAATCAACTGTGAAGGGCGAAGGCGAAGGGCCATGTATACTTATCAATTATTTTTTTGTACCCGGGTCCCGCTTGATACCCCATCCCGAAAAAATTAATTCTCATTAGTCTTTCTAAAATTTTTAGTTAAATATCGATATTTCACGAAATGGAAATTGCAAAATAATCCTAGAATATAACAATAATATTCATCAGGAATCAGGATTCAGGACAAGGAGGCGGAGGCGTCAAAAAACAAGCAGCAAAAACGTTATGGGCGCTGTATTCGTGGCGTTGCCTCCGTGTGATCCGCAGACGCTTGTTCAAGGACGGCAATGCTAATGCCAAAACCTACTTTTCCCCCTCCACCTGTAATGCCGAACCACGTATAGTCTGGCAAGCTGTGGTCTGGCTAGCCAAACGGCGAACTCCAAAAGAATTTGCTGCTTTGCCAAACTTGACGGAAACAATGATAAACAAGTTGGTGACATATTTTTTTTTGCTGTATGGGCATGTGTAGTATTTCGAAATAAAAAAAAATCCGGCAACATTGCGAAATGATGGATGTGGAGAGGCGTGATTATTCAAAGGCATGATTCTATTGGTTAGAGTCTGAACGACAGCACCAGTGACGTGGTTATTTGCGAAACTGGAGAATTTTTTTCTAATAATTTTATTGGTTTATTTCCTTGGTGTTTCCGGTGCCACTGAACCGAAAGACATGGCTGTCATCGGGCGGTGTCAGTTGAGGTGTCAGTGGATATTTTTAGGTTACGCAGGGCTGTGGTGGTATGAATAAAAACGAAGTAAAGTCCGACAAATACCATTTTAAAGTCACGTGATAATGGTGGCAAAAAACGTATGTCCATTGATTATGTCGTTGATATCACCTACAAAAAGCTACTGGTGGTTAATTACTATTAAATTTTAATATATGTTCCCACTAGCATTTTACAAACGCGTTTCTGAAGTAGTATTGACCAATCAGAGGGCAATGTTAATACTTGCAATTGTTGCGAGACTCACTTTTGTCGCATCTGCTGTCTGTTGTAATACATTCTGAACTTAAACTGGGTACCCGTTTTCTATTTGCTTCTTTTCGAGTTAGAAAAAGGTTAATATAGTCAAAATTATTAGCTGTGTTTGTTCGTTGTATTATTTTCGAAAATAACTTTGACAAACTAAATGATGACAGTGACGGATTCTATTTCAGGTAAGAATATTATGAACAATAATTAGACACCAATTTTTCTGTCAATTTTACTATCACCGCTGTTTGAGATGTATTTAACAAGGATAGAGAAAAATCACGTGACTTTAAAATGGTATTTGTTGGACTATACTTGCTACTACTACAAGTATTAGCATGTTCTACGTACCTATAGTCTGGCAAGTGGTAACTCGGTAGAGACGAAAGGGGGAAGAAAAGTGGGGCGTGACCTAAAAATATTCACTGACACCTCAACCAACTGACACCGCCTGATGACAGCCATGTCTTTGAGTTCAGTTGGCACCGAAAACACTAAGGAAATAAACCAATAAAATTATTAGAAAAAAAAAACTCTAGTTTCGCCGATAACCACGCCACTGCGTGCTGTCGTTCAGACTCTAACCAATAGAATCATGCCTCTGAATAATCGCGCCTCTCCACATCCATCGTTTCGCAAAGTTGCCAGATTTTTTTCTATTTCAAAATATTATACCTGCCCATATAGCAAAAAAAAATATGTCACCAACTTGTTTATTATTGTTTCCGTCAAGTTTGGCAAAGCAGCAAATTCTTTTGGAGTTCGCCGTTTAGCTAGCCAGACAATAGTATTTACTCCAAAAAGAAGTAGATACTACATTTCGACAACTACCAAAAATAAGTAAATGCTTCTTTGTGAAGTAAATACTGCGAAGAATATACTAATACTTGTAGTAGTAGCATGTACTTCGTGTTTATTCATACCACCCATTGCGTACAGTACAGGCCATCATGACGGCTACTAGACAATTTGACGTCATGAAAGTAGAATTCTAGTATAATTCTACTTGTCGTGATCCCCAAGTCCGTGTTGTCCCAGCCCAGGGCTGGGATCACGACAAGTAGAATTCCACTTTCATGACGTCATCCGCGATCTATTTATCGTCTACAGTACAGGCGATGATGCCGGTTGCTAGGCAACTTGACGTCACGAAAGTAGAATTCTAGTAGAATTCTACTTGTCGTGATCAAAGCCCTGGATCCTGATTGTCCGATCAATGACAGACAGGCAATGTGGCCACCTGCCAGACCAAACAAAAACGGAGTAGAACTTTGAGAGTAGAAGGTGGAAGGCGTTTAGCCACATGTTTGTGAATGTATCCTGAACCGCTAATGTTTTGTCTTTTTTCTAGAGTTTTTAGCGGTGTAGAATAGAAAGGGATAAAAAAGGTAGTTAGCATTAAACAGTGGCGGCTCCTGGTGTCCAAGTAAGGGTGGGCGACAAAAATAAAAAAAAGCTGTTGGCAGATTTTTCCTAGATTTTCAAGGTTGCGGCCTTTTCAAATATTGTATTAAATAGCTATTTATACAATAAGTTATGAAATGAGCGTCTCTCGTAACGTATTGTATACAAGATTTTTTCTACTGGCGTTTTATAATAAAAAAACACAATTTTATTTCATGTGAATAAGCAGATTAAGCCCAAAATCTTTGTTACCTGCTTTTGCTTGACACCTGACACCTCGTCTGACACTTTTCATGCGATTTTTTGCAAGATTCGACATCAATAATTAGAATCTTAGAAAGTAGGTAACAACACAAAGTTCTGTTTTGGGTAACCAAACGTTCAATTCAATAATTACATTTTTAATATTCATAATAAATACAAAACAAAATTCAAATCTGTGTTTATTGTGTTTTTTATTTCTGAACAATGAATGACACTTTTAGGCACTAGTGCCTAAAAATCACTTTTACGCACTTAAAAGTCACTTTTACGCATTTAGTGCTTAAAAGAATGTCGTTTCAAAATCAAAATGACAATCGAAAAGTTGCTTTTATGAAATGTCAGAAGAAAAAGTATTTTTTGTTTTTCCATTTTATATTCAGGGTGGCGGTGCCCACCTTGCCCATATGGGCGAACCGCCACTGGCATTAAAAAGAGTAAAGCCTAGTACTCAACACCGCGAAATTCGCTCTTTTTTGACATTGCTTCGACAATTTGACGTTTAATTGATTCACGCATAAAACTTCAAACTGTCGAAGTAATTTCAAAAAAGAGCGAATTTTGCTGTTATGAGTACTAGGCTTGATACTCTAGATGATCGCGTAAATGACGTAAATCGCAAATGTAGATATGCGGCGTTAGCATAGACTTTCGCTGTACGTTTGCTGTACAAAATCAAATGCTGGACAGACTTTCAAATTGCTGTACAATACAGCGAAATGCTGTACGTATGGTCACCCTAGCCCAATGGCCAATTGTCAATTCAGGCACACCCATAAATCGTCCTCGCACCCTGTGCGTTATTTCAGAACTCGGCTTTGTTCTGTTCTAGTTAGGCAATTCAATCCATCTGTCAAAAAGGAAAATTCAATGTGGCGTGGCGGCCAAGCAAGTTTGTTTTAAATATGTTTTTATGCGTATTTTAAATTATTTTGCATACAGTTTTGCTTACAACTTTGATTTTCATTATTTAATAAAATATTTGTTGACTAGGTACCTAAACTATTAATTCTGGCAGAAACTAGATATTTTTTTGTGTTTTTTGGCTCATGTGTGGCCGCCACGCCATCTTGAATGTCACGTGGTTTGAATTGCCTAATTAGGATTTTTGATATGTTTGGGGTGGTGCAAGAAAGAAAACGCTATGCTCAGTGTTCCAAAATGGTGTTTTTTTATAGAACAGAACTAGGAAAAAAAGGTTTTTCTATTTCTGTCTTTTACATCTTGATAAAAAAAAAAAGAGGAAAAGATACTCAGTTATCACCATCAAACAATCCTCCTCTACCGATACCACCATAGGTGGGTTCGGCTTGCTCACTCCGTGCACTCTGAGTGACTCCATTCGCACTCCAGCCGTTCGGGTTAAGGTTCGGGTATTGATTTTTACCCTTTTTACCGTATTAGGGGTGACTCCATTAGCTCTGTTCACTACACTCCAACTCCGCGCTGAATAGCCGAACCCAGCTCAAGTACACTACTTTTGACTTTTGTTATCATCACTCTCACATAACCTATAAATATCGGGCAACACTATTTATTTTTAAAAATTAAAAAAGTAATTTTAAAAAGTTATTTTGAACTCATAGTACAAGGTAAGTGCAATTCTCTGATTCTTAAATGAACGTCCACTTCTGGACATTTCCATTTTTTTCTGGAGATTTCCATTTTCTTTTGGACATTGCCTTGTTCTCCCAATGAGTTTTTATTCCACCTACATGTTTGCTAGGTGGTCTGGATCTAGTTTATTCATTGTTCTGGATAAACTGGAAAGTCCTGCCAATGTTTCTGGAAGCTATAGAAAGTCCTCTGGTGCTCAACTTGAACCCTCATAACTACCTAAACTTAAAGAATCTTGTCCCTTATTCTGGATTCTTACCTTTGCTTTCTCAATGAATTTTTATTCCGAATATAAGTTGGCTTTTTCATCTGGATCCAGTTTTTTACTGCTCTGCTCAAACTGGAAATCCCTACCAATGTATTTGGAAGGTCTGAAAAGCATGAATCTTCATAATTACCTATGTCACGAAAGACACTTTATTTATGACTTAGATGGGGCCTTGTTTCCCTTGATGTAGCCTCCTTCCTCCCCTTATAGCAACCCCGATCCTTGCTACTGATAACCTCTTTTTCTGAGACACTGATCTGACCTATCACTGATACTCTGAACTGGCGTCAATCCTCTAACTAGGATTCACCTTGCCTGATATTGATTTGTGAACCCTCTACCTGGAATTCACCTTACCTGATACTGATACTGAACTTTCTACCTGAGATTCACTTGGCTTTTTTTCCTGAAGAAACTCAAAATTGTGTTCTGAATAGACCATAAGCCCACAAACATTAATACTTACTGATAAATTTCAATGTCGCCTTGCGGACATTAGTAGAAGATTACAAACCCTGGAAAATTTCAACTGAATTGAACTTATAGTTCCTTCTACGATTCTGGAAGGAAGACCTTGAGTTTTAAAACTTAGAAGCGGTTTCAAAAGGTCTACAGCAAGATTTTTTTATTTTTTTTTTTATTTTGTGGAAGTTGCGTTTTGTGTAATTGGAAGGACAAGAAGAGCCTTTTACAGAAATTTCTAGTATTCAACAAAAAAGACTTTGTTAATCTGTGATGTGATTTAGAAAGACTGTGCCTGTTATTACTTACTTATTGGATTACCCAAATTTAAATGCGAAATAAGTGAATTATTATTAAATGTATAAACTGAAAATTTCAGCTGTAACTGTGAAAAACTACTATCGAATCTTTATTCTTTGTAGAAATATTCAAAATGAGCAACTACAATACGATGCATCTATACAACAGTGACCTCCCGTACAAATTGCACAAGTGCAACTTGTGCGATTTCAATACACTCTACAAAGCCGAGTTTCAGCTTCACCTGATCAAAACACACGGGTTTAAGGTAAGGTCTTTGGAAGAAGGCGAACCGTCCAAGATAAACAGTTATGGATTTGGAGATAAGTTTAAAAGAAAGCCTCAGGAAAGAAATGAAGCGGGTGAATATGAATGTCCCAACGGTTGCGGCGAAGCTTTTGTAAGGCTGAGACGTTTGGATTATCATTTGGAAAGATGCAGCAAAGGCAGAATGTCTTGTCAATTGTGCAGCTTTAAAACTGAAAACATGAACCAACTACAAATGCATTTTATCGAACAGCATAACTTGTTGTGCGAGCCTGTGGATGAGCCTGATTTTGAACAAGTTTTGAACAATACTCCTTACATATTGAAGCGAATAAGGGTTTATGACGAATTACCTGAGAAGGAAAAATCTAGTTCTAGAAGAAGAAACGAACAATTATTTCCATGTATGAGGTGTGATAGGGAGTTTTCTAAGTTGCGATACGTTGAACAGCATTTGAAAAGGAACGAATGTTGATTTATATTTAAGGGAAAAATATATTTGTTTTTTAAGTAAATTAAGATGATTTTTTTTTTTCAATCAATGTAGAATATTTTTGAACATGCTAGAAGAAAACCATTTGCGTTTACCAAGCAGAATAAACTAAAGAGAAATGAAAACGCTATATTAATAATAAGGAATTTGTTGGCCTGTCTGCGCGACGAAAACGCGTAATAATTAAGTTAAATCCATGTAAACAATAATAATAAATGGAAATTCTTCAATTATTCAGTAGATGAGGTGTTATTTTTAAGGTACCCTGAATAACGCAGCTTCTAGGTAAACATATTACAATACAGGTATTTTTTTTCAATGTTTAATGAAAATCTAGACAAAAAATTCGATTTGTGGGGCCAAATTTAAGTCTAAAGTTAAGTAATTTTATTCTAGGTTATGTGATCTCTTCCTTTTATCCAAACTCAAGCTAGAAATTTTCGTTGAAAGGCTCTTCCTGCTCTTTTAATTCCACAAAACACAACTTAGGGCGGGTATTATAAAACTACTTTGTGAGTTAACTTAAAGTCAACTTCTGTAATTACATGTAATTCAAAAAGTTAACTTCAAGTTAACTTTCAAAGCAGTTTTATAATACCCGCCCTTAGAAAGTCAAAGGGCGGATTTTTACTCCAGGGTAAGCGTGTCCAGTTGCAATGTTTACCCTGGAGTTATGCTTAACCCGGGGCTGACTCGCTATTGAGAAACCGGCCCAAAATGATGCAATAAATCAAAAAAATCTTGCTCCAGGACTTTCAAAACCTGTTCTTAATCTTGGAAAAATAATTATCCCAACTTGCTTTCTGTCTAGATGTTGGAAGCTTTTCTGGATCAAACAAATCAAAAAAAATATATGTATCTCAGCAATTTCTAGCCCTTAGATATTTGGGAGGAAAAAAACCTTATTTTGTAATGCATAAACTCCTGTGAAGGGCTCTCCAGAGTAAAAAAACCTGTTCCAGACCCTAGAAACTCTTCCAAACCGAGAAAAGGAAATTTCCCAACCCATCCTCTGTCTTTGGAGTGGGTTGGAAGTTGCTTTAAAGGGTTCTTCTGCATCTTCAAAAAGTCAAAAAAATCTCAGCAATTTAAAACTTTCAGGATTTGTTGAGAGAAGTTTTTTCATGATACAAAACAAGTTGGAAGTCGATATAGAAATTACAAGTAAAGTTACGATGACCTGAGAAAATCATAAAACTCCTGTGGAATCCCCTTTTTGAGGGTTCCTGAAAAATACTTTGACCCATTAAAGCAACTTGAGATTTTCAGAATTTTTCTTGTACTCAAAACTGAACTCCATAGCAACAAATCGAAAAAATCCTGGAATCCAGGACTTATTTCTTCCAAACTTTGAAAAGGAAATTTCTACCAAATCCAGCTTTGAGAGAAATTGTTCTATGCCTTATAGAAGGTTTTTCAAACCTTGATAAGTAACTTTTTCAACTTTTCAATACATTTTCTTCAGTTAATTTTATAATTTTTCGAGGTATCTTCCAGTAAATTCCAGGGGGCATGTCAATGTCGTTTTAGAGTCTGTGGTTATGCTTAGGAGTAACCAATTTTTTTTTTTTAAATGTGTTATTCATCAATCACATTGTATTGATATAAACTAATTTCTTGTTGTTTTTTTTTTTTAATCTATTAGGAAAATGAGCTCCAATGCCCCAAAACCAGGACCTTCGTGCACACTATGTACCTATAAATCCAGCAATGAACCAGATTTCAATCGGCACTTATTGAGAGCTCACAGGCTCGTATTGAAAAGTGCCAAGCATACAATCGATTACAATTTGAGAAACAAAATGCCTCGAGAACAGACCCCTCATAAATTCACTTGCAAAAGATGCGAAAAAACCTTCCCAGTCGCTCATAGATTGAGAGACCACAACATAGTTTGCAAACAAAAATTCAACACCATAGTGATGGAGCGTTTAAAAAACGGACAACTGACTTGCCTCTTTTGCTCGGACTGTTTCAATTCAAAAGAGCAACTGGACTATCACTTGGAAACTTGCTCCAAACCCCAAGTAATCCGCTGCCAATTGTGCCCTTTCGAATGTCCAGTTTCGCAGATGACCAACTTGCAAACGCACATTTGGAACAAGCACAATTTGATTTGCAAACCGGTCCGGGAGGCCGATTTTTTACAAGCTGTTAATTGTACTCCGTACACTTTAGAACGGGTTCCTGTTCTCGACGCTTTACCTGCGATGTCGCAAGCTGATGCTAAAAAATTATTGAAGTGTTGGAAATGCCAAATGTCGTTTCCTACTGCTGAACTTTTGGCTAAGCATTCGAAATTGAAAAAATGCAATGTAGATTGATCGTGATGGTATGTAGCTATTTTCCGGTTGTAGGGAAAATTAGTTTTAAGTTTCTTGTAAGTTTCGACACTGTTTCAATAATATAAGTATGTAATCTTTTGTTTGAGTATTGTAGTACCTACTTAAAAGTGGCTTAGAATATATTTTTTAATTTTAGATATTGGGTAAGAATATTTTACATTCTTTTTGTGTGAATTTTTGTTTTTTTTTTCTTATCTTAAACTTTAAATAAGCTACGCTTTTGATATCAATGTTATTCTTATTTCTGGGTGAATGTGGTTAGCAAGACTATTATTTTTAGTGGAAAATAAAACAATATTTCTATTTCTTGAGTTTGTTTTAATTCACAATCTACATCCAAAAGAAATTAATGAATCAAAATATGAAGACCTGAACAATTTAGTGAAAATATGGAAAAATTGTAAGTCCAGATCGTTTCACAAGGGTTCATACTTTTCACATAGGACACGTCATAAAAAAAAGGAATGTCGTGTCCGTGTCGCAACACACGCCACTTCATAAGCCACGTTATTTAGTGAGCGTCCTGCCTTAGGTTGCCTGATAACTTTATGACGTCATCTGGGTTGCCTCAACATAATGCAAATCTCTATAAGGCACCCCAGATGCATCATCAAGTTACCCATTACCAGGCCACCTATTAACCTTAGGAACCTTGGCCGTGTCATAGATTAATTCATATGACACATTCAATTTTTTTGACAAATTAAAGGTACATTTTAGAATAAATGACTTCTGGTTTAAGAACTGACGAACGTTTTTGACGTTATTAATTTCAGACAATTTCTATTTGTTAAAAAAAGAAAGCAAAAAGTATGAACCATAAGCGCAACTAGGCTCCAAATTTGAGGGGTGTTGCAGCACCATATGTTTTTTTTGTTTTTTTTTTTTTAAGGGGTTTGATGGAAAGGAAATGAGACTCGTAAAAAAAAAGTTAATTTCACGAGGGTTTGTATTTACGTCATCATTTCCCTTTTTTTTGAAAAATAGGTTTTTTTATGTCTGAAATTTCAAACATATAGTTCGTTGCACGGCACGAAGGTTTTTACTTGCGTCATCGATGACGTCATAACTTAGAGAAAAAGTTAAGTCGTAGATTAATTCATAGAGCACCTTCGGAATTAAAGTTTATAATACATTTTTTAACTTAGAATAGAGTTTATTCAGTTATCCGAAAATATATAAATATATTTCTCCTAGAATAATTTTTCACCTGAGAATTTCATACATCTGTCAAAACTGGTATTTTAACAATAAAAATTTAAATTTTTGATCTATGAAATTCTCTTATTAAATACAATTCGTGCAATGGAAATATATTTTTCCTACGAGCGTGCGCAAAGTAGTACTTTTCCGCACGCATTTCCGGGCTCAAAGTTACACTTTTCCGCACTCAGTGCGGATACGGGCCTTATCCGCACTGAGTGCCGAAAAGTAATTATAATTGTCAAGCAACAATAAGTGCACCTGTCGACTTTGACGCATGATGACAAATTTTTCCTCTTGTTTCTATATCAGCAGCCAACATCTATACAAACACCAAATATAAATTAACTTTGACACATTGTCAGATTTGTTCTCTATTTATATGCAAAAATCTACAAACTTTTTCATCAAATTTAAACGCTTTAAGATGAACAGCTCTGACGAGGATTTTCTGTTATTTTTTTTTGTTATGTAATTTTTTGATAAATGCATAGGTTCCCTTCAAGTTAATTAAAAATAACAACAAATTATCGTTTTTTTTTTTTAAATTTTTGTTATTACCTACCTGATATGAAGCTCGTAGGAAAAATTTTGTTCCTAACACGTGCGCAAAGTGTCTTTTCCGCACGCAAACACGTATCCGAACTCCGCTCCGCGTCGTTCGTATAACTGTGTTTGCGTGCGGAAAAGTAACACTTTGCGCACTTGTTAGGAAAATAACTATTTTCTACGAGCGTGCGGAAAAGTGCACTTTTCCGCACGCATTTTAGTTTGGAAAGTTTCACTTTTCCGCACTAGTGCGGAAAAGTGACAGATAATTCTGAGCTGACACACTTTACACAAATATCAACATTGAGAATTATATTTATTTATTTATTTATTTATTTTCACTTCCAACGGGCAGCGGCCCAATTTTACAAATATTGCCACAATAATAATATTAATACTAATAACAAACCACATATAAATAAAAATTTTAAAAAGAGTACCTACAATAAATTATTTCTAAATTAAAAAATTGAAAGGACAACAAAAAACAGCCAAAAACAGATCACAGGGTAAATCACTAGATTACAAAACAATATCACAGTGATAGCTTCATTTGGTGCAAAGACGCAGCAAATATGTCCACCTGTATCTCATTGGCATAAGACATAGCCCGATTAATGGTTGTGTGTTGGCCATAAGAGGTACGATGTCTCTCCAACGAAAAACAGCGCACAGCTCTAAAATTCCTCACTGGGACATTCAAGTTTATAGCTGAGAGCAACTCAGGGCAATTCAGATAACCTCTGAGCAACTTAAAAATCAATAACCGATCAAATTTTCTACGCCTACGCTCCAATGTTTCCAATGACAAATTCTGCAAAAGCTGACCATGATCAATAAAATCTGAAGGTATTCCCATTTTGTACCCTATGTATCTCAAGAATTTTCTCTGTACACGTTCAACTAATTCAACATAAATTTTATAATGTGGTGACCACACACAGCTATTATTTTCAAGATGGGAACGAACCAAAGACACATACAAACACCTGAGAGCAGAAACATTCATAAAGTCTCTTGTGTGTCTTTTGATAAAACCCAACATTTTCAATGCTTTATTACAACATGCATAAATGTGTTCAGAAAATGACAATTTTGCATCGAATACAACACCTAGGTCACGAATACTAGAAACATTTTCAATAACATTATCATTTATAATAGTCATTTAGTTTGGGAGAATTTTTCCTAGAGAACTGAATATATTTGCATTTCTTGCCATTCAATGTCATCTCGTTCTCAACACACCACTCATGGAACCTCAGAAGATCATCCTGCATTCCCCTGTCTGGGCCTTCTTAATTTATACTCTTGAAAATTTTCAAGTCATCGGCATATAACAAAAATTGGACATGATGGAAGCAAGACCCTATGTCATTGATAAATAAGCAGAACAGGAGTGGTGCAAGATGACCCCCCTGAGGCACCCCAGAAGTAACACTAATAACCTCAGATTGAAATGACTTCACCTTTACAATCTGGCTTCTGTCTACAAGATAAGAATACAGCCATTGAAGAAGTGAACCACATACACCATATTTGGAAAGTTTTTCTATCAACAAGGCATGACTCACCCTATCAAAGGCCTTGGAGAAGTCGGTATAAATAGAATCTACAACCTGACCGGCCTCCAAGGCCCCCGATATAGGTATTGAAGCAATAATGTTATTTATTAAATTATTTTGCTTTAAACTTAACTTTTCTTGTGAAGTTACTATAGAATGGTTACTTTATGCCTGAAAATTTCGAAAATTTCATAGTAGATACATTAAAAGCATTAAACGTACAAATTATTGTTAAAAGTTCTCGTTTTTATTGTATTCAGAATAATAAGGCACATTATTTCAGAATTAGTTTTTTTTTTTAATCAATAAATAAATAAGATTTATTTCTAAGAGTAGGTACCTAGAGTAGCGCCTACCAGGCGAACCCGTCAAACAGACGGTAACCATGAATTTACTGTCAAACTAGAGGCACCAAGAACCTCATTATATCAGAATTCATATCTCTGGAGAACAGCATCGCTGTGGAATAAACTCCCTGCGACGGTTTTCCCTGCAGGTTACAACCTAAACCGTTTCAAGACCAACATACACCGACATTTCCGCGCACTTGCCGCTTCTCGAGCGTGATAGGACATTTCCTTGCGAGTGCGCATATCCGTAAAAAAAAAAAAAAAAAAAAAATACCTAATTTATATTAAGAAAAAATTACTCGATTTGTTTTTAATACCAGGTGTTGCAGAAGAAATATCAAATATTGGTGTTAAAATTTACATTACAGGTATATTCCTTCTATCTTGTAAAAAAAATAGTGTTCCTAACTCGTGCGGAAAGTCTCTTTTCCTCACTTGATTGCTTGCCGACCTCCGCTACGCGTCGTTCGGCAAACTGCAATCGCGTGCGGAAAAGTGGCACTTTCCGCACTTGTTAGGAAATATACTATATAATTTTCGACAAATTTGCACCCATGCGTTTAACTGAAAAAGGCACTCGTGCACTACGTGCACTCGTGCTCTGTTTCAACTAAAAATGCAATCGGGCAAATTTCCCAAAAATTATTGATAATTTCCATTGCACTTGTTATATTACTATTGAAAATTTTGAAATTTTCCTCTAATGAGCTCCTCACTTTCCTTTTTCTCTAGTAAAAATTTCAAAAATTTCCCTTTGCCAGTTTTCCAGAAAAAAATTAAAATGTAAGAGGTATATTTTCCTTAATTTTGCCTAAATAAGTCAATTTTCTTTGAATTTTTCCTGGAGTGATTTTTCACTGGAAAATTTCGAAATTTCCCTATGATGAGCTCTTCACTTTCCTCTTTTTCCTGAAAAATTTTCGAAGTTTTCTCTCTGCCAGTTTTCCAGAAAAAAATTAAAATGTAAGAGGGTGAATTTTCCTTAATTTTGCCTAAATAAGTCAATTTTCTTTGAATTTTCCCTGGAGTGATTTTTCACTGGAAAATTTTGAAATTTCCCTATGATGAGCTCCTCACTTTCTTCTTTTTCCTAGAAAATTTTCAAAGTTTTCTCTCTGCCAGTTTTCCAGAAAAAAATTAAAATGTAAGACGATAAATTTTCCTTAATTTTGCTTAAATAGGTCAATTTTTCAGAATTTGCTATAATGAGCTCTTTACTTTCCTCTTTTTTCTGGAAAAAATTCACAATTTTCCTTTCGCCAATTTCCCAGAAAAAAATTAAAATGTAAGAGGATGAATTTTGCCTAAAAAACTCAATTTCCGAAAATTTTCCACTGGCAAATTTTGAAATTTTCCTATAATAAGTTCCTCACTTTTCTCTTTTTTCTGGAAAAATTTCACAATTTTCCCTTTGCCAGATTTCTAGAAAATAATTAAAATGTAAGAGGGTGAATTCTCCTTAATTTTGCTTAAAAAAGTTAGTTTTTCAAAATTTTTCCTGGAGTGATTTTTCACTGGAAAATTTTGAAATTTCCGTAAAATGAGCTCCTCATTTTCCTATTATTCCTGGAAAATTTTGAAAATTTTTCCTTTGTCAGTTTTCTAGAAAAAAATTAAAATGTAAGAGGGTGAATTTTCCTTAATTTTACTTGAAAAAGTTGTAGTGCAGTTTAATATTAACACTATAGTTCATACCAAATAAACTTGTTGTTGTGACATCGATGACGCCATTTTTAAAATCGTTATCGCCAACCGTGAAAATATTCGGCGTCGGATTGACTTAATTGGAATTTGAATTTCCCGCTGTCCATTCAGTTGGTAACACCACTTCAAAAAATGTAACGTTGCCAAATTAAATTCTTGACAATTTGAATTTTGATTGCGTTTTGGCAGCTTACGAGATTTTGGTTTGTGCTATTATTTGTGAGCTTGTTTTTTAAAAGCAGCTTGTAGTGCGAAGTGTACCTACAAGATGCCGAAGCAGCTTAACAGCCGTTGCAAAGAACTAATCGCATCCTTGTTACAATATTTTGAACGAGAACGCGATGCGATAATTATGGCCCTTCATGTCCCTTAAATGCTGTTAAGAAGAAGGTGAGTTTATGTCGTGGACCAAGGACCAACTAGGAATTTTCAATTTGAACTTTATTTTCTCTCATTTTTAGCGCGTAGCAAAGGCGTTGAACTTAGGTAGGTATGTCCACTGTCTGTGCTATTTCAAAGGCAGTCAAAAATAACGAAGTTTTGGAATCGCCTTCTGAGAAACGATGTACTTCGAAGAGAGTCTGTGATGTTTCAAAGCTCGATAGCAGTGCTATACGTAACACTAGTTATAGTTATGTATACAAAAAGTAAATCACTTGAGGCAAAGGTACATAGATATCTATGAATCGCATTCTTTCTTCTTGTAGGACAACATGTTACATTATCCTGTATATGGGAGCAATTGAAAGCCAAACAAATATTTGATGGCAGTCCCATGTAATTGAGTAGAATGTTGAAAGAAATAGGCTTCAAATGGAAAAAATATGACCCAAGACGAGGGCTCATGGAACTTCCTGATATTGTTGTTAAACGCATATCATTTTTGAGGTCTTATCTAAGACTGAAACAGGAGGCTTTGTACCAGTTTGTTTTCTTGGACAAGACTTGGATTTTTCAAAATGGTACTTTTAACCGCTCGTGGCAAGACAACAACAAGCGAATAGTTATAACTACCAAAGTTGATGGTGACAGGTGAATATAAACATGAATACAGAGAGCAGTTGTATTATATGTACAAAGAAATGCTTTTTTTAGATATATTATACTTCATGCTAGCACTGAAAATGGATTCATTGAAGGTGCATCGCTCGTATTCTCATCGAAAACTCAACTTAACGACTATAACGGAGAAATGAATCAGCAAAACTTTTTACGTTGGTTCGAAAATCAGCTGTTGAAGAACTTGAGGAGTGAACCGTGAACCATCTGTCATACCACAGAATGTTATTAAGGAAGACACCTAATAGTTCGTCTACCAAGGCTGAAATTCAAAATTGGTTAACCGAACAGAAAGTTGAGTATCCAAATACAGCATTGAAATCTGAACTTGTGACCATTGTTGCACGGTAAGTAAGTATACCTACAGGCTACAATACCAAAATTGTTTGCATTTTATGCTCAACTTCTCAAGTATTGCTTTTTTCAGGAATAAACCAACAAAAAAGTATGTGGTAGATGACTTAGCAGAACAGTATGGACATAAAGTTTTACGACTACCTCCATACCACTGGGACCTTTAACCCGATTGAACTTATCTGGGGAATAGCAAAAAACTATTATAACCAACATATTGTTATTTATATTATAACCAACATATTTGTATATTACATTATAACCAACATATTGACTCAAGATGTTTGTTTAAAAATGTGGCGAGAGGCACTGGGAAATGTTACCCCTGAAATGTGGAAAAATTCTATCAGACATACAGAAGGAATAATTGACAAGTGGTATAACAGGGAACAAGTAATGGATAGGCAAGAGGTTCTTCCACTTATTATCAATGTTGATGAAGACTCTAGCGATTCTAGCGATTTCAGTGATCCAGAATAATTGAAAATATTCTTGATGGTTCAAATATTCATATAAAATTGAATTATTTATAGTATTCAGAGTGGCTGTAAATAAAATAGGTACTGAGCGTTATTATTATATTTTATGTGATGATTGACAAATGGGTTGTTATTAAATATCTATTAAACCCAGCTTTGAAACATTGTTTATAATTCAAGTAATAAATGTTTGCATTATATTATAATATAATCCATTATTGTTTCTGAAAATATTTTGACAAAAGGAAAATATGCAAGGGACGGCAACGCTGTGCCGGCCGAGCTTGACAACCCGACTATAAGTTTATTTGGTATGAACTAAGGTATATATTCATATTATTATTATTATCATAACATCATAATCAGGTCACCTCCATTTCACGTCATTAGTATTACCAAACTATGTAAACCATATTGTAACCATTATTCAGATCCAATATAACGTTCAAACCAATAACATCCGTTGTGTTTTATTAAGAAACATACAAAGTCAATATTTTTGAATTTTTCCTGAAGTGATTTTTCTTTGGAAATTTTTGAAATTTTCTTAAAATGGAGCTCTTCACTTTTCTTTCGGAAAAATTTCGCAATTTTTGCTTTGCCAGTTTTACAGAAAAAAATTGAAATGTGAAAGGATGAATTTTGCTTAAAAAAGTCAATTTTCCAGAACTTTCCTCTCGAATTTTCTTGGAGTGATTTTCCACTAGAAAATTTTGAAATTTTCCTATGAGATCCTTATTTTCTTCTTTCTCCTGGAAAAATTTTACAAGTTTTGCTTTATCACTTTTCCAGAAATAAATTGAAATGTGAGAGGATGAGTTTTCCTTAATTTTACTTGAAAAAGTCAATTTTCCCTGGAGTGATTTCTCACTGAAAATTTCGAAATTTCCCTATAAAGAGCTCCTCATTTTCCCCTTTTTCTTGGAAAATTTTCAAAATTTTTCCTTAGCCAGTTCTCCAGAAAAAAACTAAAATGTAAGAGGTGAATTTTCCTTAATTTTGCTTAAATAAGTCAATTTTCCAGGATTTTTCATGGAGTGATTTTTCATTTGAAAATTTTGCTATAATGAGCTCTTTATTTTCCTCTTTTTTCTGGAAAATTTTCACAATTTTCCTTTTGCCAGTTTTCCAGATAAACATTAAAATGTTAGAGGGTGAATTTTTCCCAAAAAAGTCAATCTCCCAGAACTTTTCCTGGAGTGATTTTTCAACTGGAAAATTTTGAAATTTTCGTAAAATGAGCTCCTCGTTTTCTTCTCATTCTTAGAAAATTTTCAAAGTTTTCCCTTTCCAAGTTTTCCAGAAAAAAAATAAAATGTAAGAACAACAAACAAACAACGACAAATACTTTTATCTAAAATTATGACGTCATCGATGACGTAAGTAAGTACAGTGGGAATCATTGCAATTGGCACACACTCTTTAAAATCCCTCGTATTTAGTCAAAATTCTAAGGCGTATTTTAGCGACAGGTAAACATCATACTACACATACTACGATTCATGACGTCATAGTTACCCAAATAACAGGTGGAGTGTATTTGACAAAGGGTCTAAGAGAGGACGCCATGATCGTTGTTTATTTGGATTTGTTGAATTTTGCAAAATTTTGCGTTTTCGAGTTTCAATATTATTTCTCCAGTGAATATTTTCGAATATTTTCGATAGATTGTGGTATTTTTGAATTTTATGGGGACCCTATGCCAAAAAAAAATAAAATTACACTTTTGTGCACAAGTGAAGATTTTTTTTTTTGTTGCAAAAAACCTCTAAAATAAAATCACAGAAAACGCAGAAAACCATGGCAAAATGAGGAAAAACAAATAACAATCCTCTATGACCTCTATTTATAATGGAAAGAACTGTGTCGGTAATCAGCAAATCAGCTGATGTTTTGCCCATATGCTCATTTTCGTGTATTAGAAAAAGATGCACTGACATACAACCAGTAACTATCCCTCGTAGGATGGTTACATGTTTACAGCCGAGTTTTATGTTGTGACGTCATAGTATGTTAGCCATGATCGCTAAAATGTAGTACCTATCCCCAAGTAAATACAACATACTACTGGGTTAAAACTCTCGCTAAATACGCCTCTAATTTGGTTGCACTAATTTTTCATATTAGTGTTGGGGTAGTGCTTATATAGTGAGGTAGTGCTATGGTGGAATACCGAATGGGAGTGCTAATTTTTTGCTTTAGGGGTGCTTAACACTCCCTAGCACCCCCCTAGTTGCGCTTATGGTATGAACCCTCGTGATGAGAGAGGTAGGTTGCCTGATAACTGTGATGAAGTCATCTCTGGGGTGCCTCAACATAATGCAAATCTCCATGAGGCACCCCAGATACGTCATCAAGCTATCCATTACCAGACAACCTATTAACTCAAGGAAACTTGGTTTGGGATATCCATTTGAAAAGCCTTTACATTTGAAAAATCTGAATTATTACAATACTTTCTTAATTACAATTGAAAAAGTATAGTTATTTACCTAACAATGCGGAAAGTTATACTTTTCCGCACGCAACAGCGTTTGCACAAACGACGCGCCAAAGATACTTTACGCTCGTTTTAGGTACAGAATTTTTAAACACCAAAATGTTTTAAAAATGTGTCCGTTTCCAACCCAGATCAAGAGCAAAGTAAAATGAAAACGCTATCATTTGAAAACCCAAATCATAAGCAAAACAAAAACATAACCCTATTTTTTATTTTATTTAAAATTCACAAAATTAAAGGTGTTTTTTTTTTGTTTAAATGCTATAACAGCTTTGAACAATTAAATATCTATGTTATATGAAATATTTAGTTGAATTTACACTAAATTTTATATGGGTAAGTTTATGAGAAAATTATCTAAAAACTAAAAACTTCATACAAAAAGCAAACAATTCATTCCCAAATTCTGACCCCTCTTTGCAGAATTCTGATTTGCAACAAAATGGAAATCCAAAAGAAACTCCAAGAATACAATCAATTCGTTGAAGGAAAACTGAAACCGGACCTCAGAGACATCGAATCGGTTTTAACGGAAAAATCCAGTCAAACCAAGGAATGGACCGACTTGAAAAACACCCTTAAAGTACTAAAAGAATTCAAAGAAAAAGACCGCGACATGAACATTTTACTAGACCTAGAAAACAATGTAACCGCATTTGCAAAAATATGCGACTATGAAACAACTTACGTGGACATTGGTTTGGACTACAAGCTGGAAATGAATTGCGAAGAAGCTGACAAATATGCCGATATCAGACTGAGGCTGTTGCAAAAAGAAATTAATCATCTAAGAGAATTGGCTGTTAAAGTTAAAGTACACATTAAAATGGTTTTGTTGGCCATGGGTGAACTACAAGCTACTTTAAACAAATAAAACATAATTTTGTTTTTTATTTAAAATTCAATCTCCTTCAACAGCAACTTCAGTAACAATTTGAACATAAAACGGCCCCTCTTTAATAAATTCAGTCATTTTATCTTGCACGTGCCTATCAAACAATAAACTTCCAGATAACAATCTGATGACTTCGAATTTTGCTTCTTTGCATTCTTTGTTGGTTTCCAGTCTTCTATCTAGTAGATACTCAATCAAGCCTGGAGTGTCTCTTATGGCTTTCTGTCCCCATTGTTGCCTTGCCAAAGCATTAATTATACCAATACCAGCAAGCCGTAAGTCAACAAAGGGGTTTTTAGCGTATCTAGTAATCATTTCCATTGGATTTTTGCCTAATAAATGAAACCACTTTTCTGTTATTTCTGCAATATCAAACCTGTCGGTTCTGAGAAGGTTTTCAATGCAATTCAGTGCCCTTACTCGAATTTCAGTGGGCAAAGAATTAATAAGATGGGAAATTGTCCTTATGGTGCCATCTATTTGGGTTCCAGTTGAAGCTAAGGCAACTTTTCCTTGAGATGTTTGCCCCATTAAACCAATTGTGTCCAAGGAAATGCCGATAACAGTGGCATCACTGGATTCAATGTTTGCAAATAAACGATTTATTAGTTTTGGGTGTTTTACTATTATTTCATGGGGTCTTTTTTGGCTTACTGATCCAAAAAATTTCAAAATACCTAAAAAAATAATAATTAAATAAAATTTGGTTGTTAATTAACTACTATACACACCTGGTTCGCACCAATATACTTTTAACTCGTCTTCAGTGAGCAAAGAAAATATTTTATTCAGAGTGTCAGTGCGTTCCAGAAAGTTGTAGCCGTGCTCGCAGTCGGCCAGTTGCGATAAAATTTGTATCGTGTTCATCGTGTATAAAATATCATCATTTTTAAGGCCATCTATTATTTTTTTCATGAATCCTGCTGCTTGAAATTTCTCAAAACAATATTCCGACTGTTCTGATATTCGAATGATCATCTAGACAAGAAAATTGAGGTCAAAATGATTAGGATACAATTGATTTGGGAATTGCTCAGAGTGTTGGGAAACAGAAAAAAAGGCAATGTTTCTTGATTTTATTTTTTATCAAATTGTTTTTATAGATTGCGGATAAAGCTCAGCAAATTTTAGAAGCTCCTTTTGTCAATCTATAGTCAAAAAAAGGTAGATAGGTTTTATAAGTATTTTATATTATTAGCAATTCTTTCTAAAAAGAAATTTGGAAGGAAACAGAAATTCAAGAGCCTGGAATATGGAATAATCAAAAATTGAGACTACTTACACCAAGGGGCAAACCACCTAGGAATTCTTTGCCAAAACTGTGGGAAATTTACAAGAATTTGTGGGGAATTTGGGCGAATTTATGGGAAATTGGAAGAATGTATAAGAAATTGCGGGAATTTATTTGTTTTACACTGAGCATGATAAAAATAGAAAAATAAATTTCTTATCACAAACAATTTTTTGGCATTTTCAGGGAACTTGTAACAGGCATTTGCAGGAATTTGCAAGCAGTTTGGAGGAATGTTTTCGAAAAATTCGGGGGGGGGGGTAGTTTACTCCATAGACTTTGTTCACCTTGGTAAAAATCAAAGCAAAAAAACCTTTATGCTTGAACAGCTAAAAACTATTCAAGCTGCATTGGAATTATTCACTTAGGGTTTGAAGAAGATTCAATTGGTTTTATTTCAAGCCTAATTATGCTAACATTGGATTGAAATTAACAAAGATGTGAGGTGAAAAGTGGTTCGTCAAAATCAAGCTTTTTTTTTTTGAAGAAAATGTTTATAGGAAGGAATAATTTAAAGTTTCACATCTAAAAACTATTTAAGCTGCCTTGAAAATATTTACCAAGGATTTGTAGAGGATATAATGGACGGTAATTCAAGCTTGATTTCGTTAAGATCGGATTGAAATTAACAAAGTTGTGAGGCAAAATATGTGTTAATGTCATTTTAGAAGAAATAAAGTTTCCGAAAAATTACATTGAGGGACGTTTTATTTTTTTTTTGTAGAAAATGTTCCAGGTATTGGATTGAAATTTTGCAGGTGGATAGAGAAAAGATTAAAATTTAGAAAAAAAATAAAAATTTCCTTCTGATTGTTCACCTTCAAGGGCCAAACTGTTGGAGATGTTTTAATCCAGAATTACGAATTACCTACCTGCTATTTATTGTGAATTTAGCTGGTATCACAGATTGCTTGTACAGGATGGCCCAAATTCGAGCCTCGTCATTGGGATATCGGCAACCATAAGAGATACAGGGTCGGTTAAATTATGGCAAAGTTGCACAATTTCATGACCAATAGAATACCGTTTTGAAATTGGAAAGATTCCGAATAGTTCCGGAGATATTCGGAAAAAAACGACATTTTGTAAAATCGTTTTTATTTTTTCCTGGGCTTATTTGAAGAGCAATTTCAAAATAAATGTCACTTCATTGGTGTCACTTTTTCCCCTCTAGAAGATGGTGCTACTAAATTTAAAATTCGACGTTTCGTCTTCAGGCGGCCATCATCAACTTACTTTTTTTAAATACGAACCTGGATTTTTTATTTGCGATTTTGTCATCTTTGGGTATTCTAAAACCGATAATCTTTATAATTTTTTCAATAACAGTAAAAAAAGCAGGTCCGTATTTAAAAAATAAATAAATTGATGATGATTCCAGAGGAACGAAACGTTGGATTTCAAATTTAATACCGCCATCTTGTAAAGAAGAAAAAGTGACAATGGGAATGTGAAATTAGTTTCTCAAAATATTTTAAAATAAAATCAGGAAAAAATCAAAACAATACGAAAAAAACATGAACTTCTCGTATTTTTCAAATTTTTTCCTGATTTCATTTAAAAAGATTTTGAAAAAATAATTTCACATTCTCATTGTCACTTTTTCTTCTCTTCAAGATGGCGGTATCAAATTTAAAATCCGACGTTTCGTTCCTTTGGAATCATCAATTTATTTATTTTTTAAATACGGACCTGCTTTTCCTACTGTGTTATTGAAAAATTCGAGGAAAAATTATAAACATTATCGGTTTTAGGATACCCAAAGATGACAAAATCGCAAATAAAAAATCCAGGTTCGTATTTAAAAAAAGTAAGTTGATGATGACTGTCTGAAGACGAAACGTCGAATTTTAAATTTAGTAGCACCATCTTCTGAAGGGGAAAAAGTGACAATGATGAAGTGACATTTATTTTGAAATTGCTCTTCAAATAAGCCCAGGAAAAAATGAAAACGATTTTACAAAATTTCGGTTTTTCCCGAATATCTCCGGAAGTATTCGGAATCTTTCCAATTTCAAAACGGCATTCTATTGGTCATAAAATTGCGCAACTTTGCCATAATTTAACCGATCCTGTATCTCTTACGGTTTCCCATATCCCAATAATGAGGCTCGAATTTGGGCCACCCTGTACAGTCGCTCCTTGTGTTCATTTTACATTGAAATAAATATTTCTAAAACCCGTATTACATATGTGTTTTTTTCCGTGAATTTATTTATGTAGTTCAACTTCAAACAGAACATAAATCAGCATTATGAAAAACAAAATAATGTTGGCATCCTGAATTACATGAAAAAATTCATGGATACACAGATGTGATACGGGCTTTAGTTTATTGCCACAAACTTCTTTTAAATTACCAATAGGTTATGGGCCCAGATATGGAACGTGTGCATAAACTGTGAAAAACGTAAAATTCAAGTGAGAGTGTTGCGAATTGCAGAAAATTCAGTCTATTGTTATTTTTTCATCTATTTGTTCAAACCAAGATGGGCAAGTTGGCTTCAAATCTCCATTCAAGATTGGATAAACTTACTGGTCGAGAAAATTATAATGATTGGAAATTTGGCATGGAAATGGCTCTGATATATGGACATTTATGGCGATTTATAGAGGGTTTTTCTGTTGAAGATAAATCAAAGCAGGAAGAATGAGAATGTTCGAACCAGAAGGTTTTAGCTAAAATTTGCCTCATGGTTCATCTTTTAGCATATCCTAATGTCAGGTCAGCAAACACAGCACAGATTGCTGGTACTTACATGTTTTTGAAAGAAAAGTAGTGGAAAAAGGAATTTGCCCCTAGACTTACACTCAAAAAAAGAAAAATAAAGGAGTAATTTTTGAAGAAAATTGATTATTTTTCATTTCTATCCCAGGCTCTTGAATATTCCTTTATGCTTTCGTAAAAAGAAATTTAGAAGGAAACAGAAATTCAAGAGCCTAGAATAATCAAAAATTGAAACTACACTAAAGAAAAGAGAAATTGAGAGGAGAAATTTAAGGAAAATTGATAATATCCACTTTCTATTCCAAGCTCTTAATTGCTCCTTTATTGTTCTATGGAAAGAAATTTGGAAGAAAACAGAAATTCAAGAGCTTGGAATAATCAAAAATTGACACTAAAGAAAAGAGAAATCGAGGGGCAAACCACTCCCCGCAATACATGTACAGGGTGAGTCACCATATTTTGACACCCACCTGCAGCCGTAATTACAGGTGATAGGTGAACGGTGTAAATACAAAAGTTGTAGTATTTCATCTGAACCGCCAAAATTTTCAATTAGATTGTACAAATGAGCAACAAAAAGTGGAAAAATATGTCAATGTTCACTTTTTTCAAATGGAATGTCCTTTATTTTCTTTCAAATTCTTAAAGTTCTCGTTTTTCTGATTCAGATTATATAATATGTTAGTGTTTCTTTCGATAGTTTTGGAAATATCTGGAGTTTAGTTATTCAAAGAGAGTAGTTTTTTGAATAAATTTCACCTTGATTTACATGTAACCTGTGGCAATCGCGCAATCTTCTCGCAGTCCCAGAAATCTTTGGAAATCGCGGTGATAGGGGTAGCACTGGTAATATTTTGAAATGTATGAACGCCTTTGAGGTTATCAGAAATTAAGAAAAACCGTTTTTTAATCAACATTTTCTGTTTTATTAGGATATATTTAGAGTTAAATAATTATTTTAGTGGTACAAAAATCGATGCAATGTTCATATTTCCAAGAGAAGAAAATAAAAAACTAGGGACCAATCCACCTTGCCACAATAACCTTCTAGTCCAGGAGGCAGTGAAATTTTCTAGCACTTATTTTCCCAGTTGGTGTCTATTAAATAGTTTGTTCTCCTGGTGATACAATAAATCAAGAATTTTTGAGTCTGGCTAAAATTTTCGGATGGGTTCACAAGATCAATGAAAAATACAAGTACGCCTATTTTCCCAGACATAAATATTTCACATTTACTACAATAGAACATAAAGTATATGAAAGTAGCAATTTGGCTTATCTCAGATAGTGAAAGTAAGTCCGGCTGAAAATTTTCGGACCTCCAATTTTTCATTTGCCAGACATATTATCCATACTCACAGATTAGCCAGACTATTTTTTTACGTAACTTCAGTAGACTTCTCATTAGTAGACCTATTTTCATCACTGAGAAAAAAAAGGGCCGTGCATTCGTAAGCTTAAACGCATTTTGCGCCTCAACCCATTGGAAAACCCCTCTAAAAATATATGAATTTTGCTTTGCTGGGAAAATAACTACCGAAAATCGTCACTGCCTCCTAGACTATTCCGACTGTTCAATAGATTAAAATTATAATGGAAAATGCGAAACATGATGCGATAAACAGCGCTAAAGATTTAAATATGTTGCTTCCCGACGAGTTGATAAGATCGGCGTTGGAAACAATCTCTCTACCTCCAATAGGTTTTTCAACCAATTCAACAACTATTCCTGATGAAGAACTCGATTTAGAAACAGAAGGTGGATAATAAGACCTTCAAAATATGGACACTGAAATAAACCACGAAGATCTGGTAGAAACTGGAGAAGAGTTGGACATATTTAATGATTTCGAGAGCTTGGAAATCAGGGACTATAATGATAAGACGCAATTTGATAATTCTCGACTTAGCATCACAGTAAACATCAAAAATATGATAGTTAAAAAATCTACTTTATGTTGGCTATTTTTTGACAAAAAGGAAAAACTCTCATCCGACAGACGAATACAGTGCAGAGGAATGAGTAGTCAAGGAGAAACATTCAAAAAGATTTCAACGAATGCAGTGAAGAGTATAAAGGTCAAACTAGGAAAAAATTGGTAAATAATAAGGATTTTGATTCTTCTTCTGAGGACGAGCCTGGTGTGGTGTGGCTTAGAAGAACTTACAGAAGATGAAGAGTTACCAAGTTTCACAAGTTCAAAAGATACAATTTGTCTTTGTTTGTAAAAACTACTATGCAGTTTTTTATGACACTTGGTATATTGGACATGTTCTAGAAATTTTGGATCAAGATGAGTATGTTAAGCCCAGAAGATGATATACAAATCGTCGAAAAAAAAAGAAATTTGTGGTTTTAAATAAAAATTAAGCAGTTTTACTAGTTTCAATTTTTTCAAGTATTTTTTTCAAAATCCCTTCCGCAATCCTGTAATAATCATTTTGCAGTCCCGCAATCTTGGAAATCATTGCGATTATTTCAGAAATCTTGGAAATCCTTTCGATTTTCATGGCAATCTTTGAAATCCCTTAAAGTATCATGGCAGCCCTGGAAATCGCAGTGATTGCCAGGAAATCATAGGATTTCCGCAATACGTGTACATTTTTTAAAGGAGTGGTTTGCCCCTCGAGAGAAATAGAGAGGAGAAATTTAAGGAAAATTGATAATATTTCCTTTCTATTCTAGGCTCTTGAATGTTTTGAAAAGCCCAAATCAACTCACAATCACTTTTGAGTTCTCAAACTTTGAACATGAAATTTTGGTGATTTTCAGAGCAAAAATACAGTGTGCTTTCATTTTAGAAAAACTCATTTTTTGAGAAATACCTAGTAAGTAAGTAAAGCCGCCAAATTTTTTCTGCATTGGCTTCCAAAATTCTGAGCTATCTAGAATATTGTCTCATGAAGCTGTTAAACACTAAAATTTTTACCTCATAAACACGAAGTCTAACAATTTCATTCATATTCATCAAATTCTCAATAACCACTAATATTTCATTGGTGGTAATTTTGTTTGCTCCCGGAAGAGTGGCACCCAAAGCCACAACAATATCCGAAGCAATTTTAGCGGGGCCCAATTGAGAATCACCAATACATGACACTACGTTCACTAGCATGGAGGTTTGCTGACAGAAAGCCCCTAAGCTTTCCTCGTCGTCTAGTGACCTTTTGATTTCTTGTAGGGCCATAGTTTTTACAGAAGTATACGGGTGCAATAGGGCTCTTTCGAGATCACTAGAGTAGCGATTAGTGATTTCTTCTAGAGTCAAGTTGTTTAGGCATAGAGTGAGTACGTCACAAGCTAAATCAACTTGCTGGCTGTAATATTGTTTTAAGCTATATGTAATAGTTTTAAAAAAGGATTATTTACTTACGAATTGGTGTCGTTCAAGCAATCAAAAACCAAGGGTAGTTGCAAGTTGGTCACTATCCTATTGAATTCATCCTTTGACAAACTGCTCAGTTGCTCTCTGAGTTCGCTCAGAGTAGGAATTCGTAGGTCTTCTTGGATCAAATTTGATAATTTGTCTCTGTACCATTCGTCTTGTGAATCCATTTTTGACAAAAAAGTTATTTCCAAAATTTTTGCTTGTCACTGTTTACTAACAAAGAAGTTGTTGAGGTTAGGGTTAGATTGATGAGCTAGGCGATTTCACCATTGGATTTCACTCGGAGCAGACAACAATAGCGTTTTCATTTGTCCTCAGGGTCCTTTCTCTCGAGCGGAGTTCAATGAAAAAGCCGAATGCAGAATAGCTATTTACCTAACGAGTGCGGAAAAACATTTTCCGCAACTGTTAGGTACAATAGTTTTTCTACAGACGTGCGGAAATAAGTATACCTACATAATTTCTAGTAATTTATAATTTTCTTTTTTTGACAGCCGTGCGGAAAAATTTTTCCTCACAATCCTCACCGATATCTCTGCGGAAAATTGATTTTTTCGCACGGCTGTAGAAAAATCTAAGGGTCATATTCTTCTTCTTCGTAGTTCATGAAGCCTGGCTTAGTGGAAACGCGCTTTTTGTGTGACAAAGCCGAGCTTTTCCACTAAGCCAGGTTTTATGAACTACGGAGAATATGGCCCTAATATCCGTACGAAAGCGTTATCTACTACTCTAATCTCACTTTGTTTACTGTTGTTTGGTAAAGACCCTCCTAAAGACGTCTTTGTTAAATCTACATTACGTCTGGACGTCTGAAGACTAAAAACAGACGTCTGAAAGATGTTGTTTGGAAGACGTCAATAAGATGTCGAAAATTCATATCTTAAAGACAACTGGGAAGTCACACGCTTAAGAATGTTAGTCCTAAAGACGTCTTTAGGCAGAAGTCTGAAAGACTTCTTTAAGATTCTAAAACGTGAACGAGACGTCAGAGGTTATTCTAAGGATTTTTTTCCACTGCACATAAAGGAAATAAATCACCATACAGGGTGTCAATTTGAAAACTTCCCACCCCTATTATCTCGGAGTAGAAAAATTTTCGAAAAAATCCCTGAAACACGTCAACTATAATTTGAGGGGGGATGAGTTTTTATGCAAAATTCACCTCCCCCCTTTCAACACCCCAGTCCCCAGAGCCACCCCCTAGATTCCCTAAAAAAATTTAAATAGGGGGGTCAAGTGATACATCATTTCGCAGGGTTTTTAATTCCATACATTTTGGTACCTACTAAATTTTAGTCCCTAAGTTCAACTATTTTGGAAATATTGACAGTTGAAAATTGACTTTTTTGCTACTTTGACAGGCTGTAAAACCTAAACGGTTAATTTTAGAGGAAAACCGATCTTACATTCCCATCTTATCTTACCTTCATAAACTATCATTTGACAACATTTTTGAATTTAACCGGAGATTAAATTTTCAACCGGAATTTGTGATCGTAGATTAAATTCGAAGTTGCTGTCTAATGATAGTTTAGAAAAATCTAAGATAAGAATGTATAAGATCGGTTTTCCTCCAAAATTAACCGTTTAGGTTGTACCAGCCTGTCAAAGTTGCCTAAAAGTCAATTTTCAACTGTCAATATTTCCAAAACAGTTGAACTTAGGGATTAACATTTTGCACCAAAATGTATGGAATTAAAAGCGCTCCAAAATGATGTATCGCTTGACTCCTCTTCCCATTTAAAATTTTCTAGGGGGTGACTCTGGGGGTTGGGGGGTTGAAATAGGGAAGATGAATTTTGCATAAAAACTCATCCCCCTTCAAATTATAGTTGTCATGTTTCAGGGATTTTTTCGAAAATTTTTCTGCTCCAAGATAATAGGGGTGGGAAGTTTTCAAATTAACACCTTGTATGTATTACCATGATATATGTATCACTAAGGGTGGGTATTATAAAACTGCTTTGACAGTTAACTTGAAGTTAACTTTTTGAATTACATGTAATTCTAGAAGTTAACTTTAAGTTAACTCTCAAAGTAGTTTTATAATACCCGCCCTAACACACATTCACATAGGCTGGGTTCGGTAATTGCATCTGCGAGCAAAAGGAGCAAATTTTGACGGACGTCACGTGATCACTTATCTTTTTCCACATGTCAAATCACGTGAAATCTATCACATTTTGCTCGTTTTGCTCGCAAATGCAATTACCGAGCCCAGCCATAATATATGATTTCTGCGATTGACAAGAAATGTCATCATTTTTGACCGGTTGACAGGTCGCAAAGCTCGAAATTCTGGTATTTTCATTGGTTGCTAAGGAACCGATGGATAATGGATAACAATACAAAGAATCATTTTTCTCTTCGAACATTAAATAATGCATTCATTCTTGCTCGACATTGATAACTGTTTAATGATACGAATTCTACACGCCCCGTGGATAATAATCGGAATCCACGGCCTACCGACCAATCAAATTCGCAGTATTTTCGGAATGCATGGGCCGCAACGAGACAATTAGGCAATTCAAACCACGTGACATTCAAGATGGCGTGGCGGCCACACATGGGCCAAAAACACAAAAAAATATCTAGTTTCTGCCCGAACTAATAGTTTACGTACCTGGTCAACAAATATTTTATTAAATAATGAAAATCAAAGTTGTAAGCAAAACTCTATGTAAAATAATTTAAAATACGCATAAAAACATATCCAAAACAAACTTGCTTGGCCGCCACGCCACATTGAATTTTCCTGTTTGACAGATGCCCTGCATTTTTATTCTCATCAAATTTTACCGATGGATCCACCATTATATGGCCGTCATTGTCATTATCCATTCACTAAACAAAGATAGGTTACTCACCGGTGAAGTCACCGATGAGAATAAAAACGAGGGGATGGATTGAATTGCCTGATTAGGCAATTCAAACCACGTGACATTCAATATGGTGTGGCGGCCACACATGGGCCAAAAAAGACAAAAAAATATCTAGTTTCTGCCCGAATTAATAGTTTAGGTACCTAGTCAACAAATATTTTTTTAAATAATGAAAATCAAAGTTGTAAGTCAAACTGTATGCAAAATAATTTAAAATACGCATAAAAACATATTCAAAACAAACTTGCTTGGCCGCCACGCCACATTAACCCTTTTCACGTGGCTCCGGTTTAATAAACCGCAACATACCGCTCAAATTCGAGTGGTAGGTATCCATCCGTTACTTTTGTAACCGGGTTAGAAACCGGTATGTCATTTCTCTAACCGTTTTGTAACCCGATTAGTTTAAACCGGGCCACGTGAAAAGAATAACTATTGAATTTTCCTTTTTGACAGATGGATTGAATTACCTAATACAAACAAAACATGACTGACGTCTACTGTCAGATCACGAAACTTTCAATTTAAAAAAAATAAGGCCGGTTTAGACTTTTGATGATTGTTATTTTTTACAAAAACCAATGATTTTCTTTCAAAAAGTTCAAAGAGAAAGTAAAGTCTTCTACTCGCAAATAATGGCTATTATTATATGCTCGTTGAAGAATATACTATTCCCCTAGGCCGAGAAAGTGATTACTAAAGAATGAACGCATAACAGTATCTACGGGAAACACTTTTCCGGCCTAGGCCGGGAAAGTGTGCTGATCCAGCAATATCACAAATGCATTCCTCATTTTTTTTATTCCTGAGCGATAGCAGAAAAAATAGTATGTGTGTTTCAGAGGAAAAGCACATTCTCGGCCTTCGGTGTTTACTGGGCTCGGCTGCGCCTCGCGCGTTAACTTACACCGTTGGCCGTGAATGTCTCATTTTTCCACCTATACATAATATACTATTTTCTATTTTGATTTCATGGTTGTGAACAAAAAATGTGCCGCAGGCGAAAATTTTTTGGGGGTGCCACGCACTTTTCACATTTATCACAATATGCCTTATTTGTCAGAGTGGGATCCTCGACAAGCCACTATGGTTTGATTAAATGAGAATCAGCACAGACTCAAAGAAACAGCGCAGGCCAAACAGCAAAGATATTTTTGCTAAGGCCAATGCGGATGAAGAAACGGAGAATTTTAGTTAGTGCTGGGGGAAAATTAGCAATACATTTTAGAACAAATTAAATGTAATGTATTGATAGTGCTATTGTATTCTCATATGTAGCATATTATGTCAACTAAATTATTTGTTAGTAATACATGAAAAAATAACTACACAGATTTAAATTTTCCACTGCACAATTTACTTTTTCTACTGCACATTTTGTGACCAACTGCACGTTAGAATAACCTCTGCAAGACGTCTTTAAAAGTTGTTTTTGGACATCTTATTAGGGACGTCTTTAAGATGAAAGTCCAAAACACCTAAAAATTCCATTCAAAATTTCCAAAAGCATTCTGCAACGCAAATATTTTGAAGTTTCAGAACCATTTTAGAATGCCCAAAACATTCAAAAACCGATTTTCAATTTCTAAAAGCATTTTAGAAAAATTCGGAAGCTTGTACCCCATTTTAGGACGCTCCCATAACACTGAAACATTCTAGAATCTCTAGAAACATTTTGAAAAACGCCAGAACCTTAGGATTCAGGTTAAAAGGTTAAAAGTTAAAAAACGCCTTTCAGAATAGGCGTTCAAGAGCGAATTTAAATTGCTTTAGAACTTTAGACAATAAGCATCCAAAACAGTTCAAATCCAAATCAGAATTTTCAAGAGCATTTTGGAACAATTTAGAAATTTCAGAGTTCTTTTTGAAAAATTAGGATTCAATTTAGAACTGGAAACCTTTTAGAACTATTTTGAAACAATTTAGAACACTTTGGAACTTCAATATGGGGCTTTAAAATTAGATGGAGGAAGTCCTTATACAAGGTGAGTACGAAATAAGTGCGCATTTTGTTATGATAGACAGAGTACATACAGTATAAAAGGACAATTACTTTTTGCATAGATACGGTCCTGGAAAAAAACTGAAACTCAAACGGATCTTTAGAAAGATTTTTGAAAACATTGCAAACACTCTCTAAAAATTGGAACAAAATCGCTAGAGGCATTTTGAATCTAAAGGCAAAAAGTCAAAAATTACCAAAAATTTCAACACTCTGTATTTTCTTAACGAGAAGTTTGCGGATACATGTACCTATGCAAAAAGTGGTTGTCCTACTGTACTCTATCTATCATAACAAAATGCGCACTTATTTCGGACTCACCCTCTGAATAAGTAAGCAAGTATAGGTAAAGACTCTAAAGACAATAAAAACAATTAAAATCTCATTTTTTTGCCTATATTACTTAATATCACAGAATCAAAAATATAACACTGGTAAAAAATAAACTTAAAACATTTTCCAGACTGAAATTCTGAAAACCTTTTAAGCTGTTGAATTAATAGTGCTCGAATTAGAATAATCTTCCTGGTCAGTTGATTGAGTCCCATTATTATCCTCTGTTTTTCGAGATTTCTTAGACACCGTAAATATCAATTTAGTTATCAAAATAAACGGCGACTCGAATAATATGGAAAACACAAAAGACATCAACATGGTTATTAGGATTGTACCGGTTGCGCTTATTGCCTGGAAATTTTCCATTATTTCAACTAAAAAAAATATTATTAAATTTACCATTGCCGGTATTGACATAATTATTCCAGCCTCGGAACCCAGGGCAATCATTGTAACTACTAAAGGATTCAGCAAATACGCACAATAAGTTAATCTTCCTAGAGGCACCCAAGCTTTATAAGACAATAATTTTTCCAGGAGCCCTTCAAACCATCAAACTTAGATATTTTACTCAACTTCAATTTGTTTGCACTTACTGGCATTTCCTGTAGATACAGCCACAACAAACCAGGCAATGCCTACACCCCATAAAGTCCTGGAAGTGCCCATGTAAAATGCCGAAAATTCTACCGAAATTTGTCTGGTGTATAATGTGAATAGTATCCATATGTTTAATAAAGGGAATATTAGCCAGAGAATACGTCTTGTCCTCTATATTTGACAATTGAAGCTTAATTAAAATTATATACACACGGGACCAAGCTACTAGACACATATAGTCTAGTAGCCTGGTCCTGTCTATATACTTACCTCTTTTAGAACTAATTTATTTTTTAGCTTGATGACTAGGATGTAGGCAGTAATTAGTCCAACCATATATGGACCAATTCTATTCCATGGCAAGTCATAAATGGCATCTAATTGTTCTAATTGGTCATCCAGTCTGCAATTATGTATCAAATCTAAAAGTTATGATATTTAATTAATTTACTTACGTAGGAATATATCCAATAGAGTAAGATTTGTATGACGTGGCAGCGATATTTATTAGAATCGCTAGGATAACTAGGAAAGAAGCAAATTTGAAAAACCTGAAAAGATAAAGTTGTAACTTTACTGTTGAAACTATGACTTTTCTTTTACATTGTCGATAGTAGCAACAAAAACGATGCAAAAGTGAAAAATTGCATGTCCGCAGACAAATACCAGGACCAGCTCAGACACATTTCTGATCTAGGAAAGAGATTGTTGATGTACAAAAAATTCCTCCACCAATATTGATCGCACAGTAAATCTGGTCGTTCGCTAAAGTACAGAGACGATTTTTGATTGTAGAAGGTGTAAATCAAATCGCAGAGCCAGATGACTATCAAATAGGTCGGTGTCAGTCTAGAATAAAATGCAAAATTTTTATAGTAAAAACCACCAAAGGTTTGTCTAGTGGCACCCTTGTTAAACTGTACCAACACTGAAGAACTATTCCAAGCTAAGAAGTACTGAAAACCGTCGTGTCGGGAAAGTTAGCAACACATTCGAAGCAGGATCGCTAAAACATGTTCCTGCTTGTGCTGCTATGGTACTGCCTCATCCTGCTTCAAATTTGACCCCGGCAACACGTACTATTTTCTTTATATAGCGATTTTTATTTTAGTTCCTAGCTTCATCCTTGGCTACACACTGGAAGTAGGATCGCTCAAACATGTTTCTGCTTGTGCTGCAATGGTCCTGCCTCATCCTGCTTTAAATCACACCCCGTCAACACGTTCTATTTTTGGGATACAGGGATTTCCATTATGGTGCGTAACTTCACCCTTGGCTTGCGAATACATTGGAAGCAGGATCGCTCAAACATATTCCTGCTTGTATTGCTATGGTCTTGCTACATTCTGCTTCACCACAGCAATATCTAATATTTTTAAAGTACACACTAGTAGCATTACAAAAGTCTAGTCGTAGGAATAGGGAGAGCTCGAGACACCTTTGCCAAATATATCGTAATGAGTGCTTGTCTTAGATTGTTGTAATGCTACCAGTGTGTATCTCAAAAATATTAGGTGTTGCTGGGGTGATTGAAGCAGTTTGAGGTAGGACCATAGCAACACAAGCAGGAATATTTTGAAGCGATCCTGCTTCCAATGTGTTGCCAAGTCAAGGGTAAAGTTACGTGTTGCCGGGGTGTGATTTAAAGCAGGATGAGGCAGGACCATAGCAACACAAGCAGGTACATGTTTGAGCGATCCTACTTCCAGTGTGTTGCCAAGGGTGAAGTAGCAACCAAAATAAAAATCGTTCTATCTTGAAAATAGTACGTGTTACCGGTGTCAGATTTGAACCAGAATGAGGCAGGACCATAGCAGCACAGAGATCGCAATAAAAACTATAGTTTTCAACATTTCGTAACAAATTTATAATCCATCGCGGAGTAACAAAAGATAGAATTCTCAAAAGCATCCAGGCAAATTTGAAAAATGCTAGAATCTAGAAGGTCTGACAAAATTTGTCCTTGAACTTATAATAGCTCCATTAACCAATTACAAATTCTTACCTTAAAAACCTATTAAAATACATAAAAAAGAACTTGTAAACATTAACAAATACACTGTTGGCTTTCTGATCCACTTCATGCGGATTGGTCTGTCTGAAAAACAAATAGGCCAACAAAAATCCGCTCAAAAACAAATAAGTATCCACCGAGTAGGTAGAATTTGAGAAAATTTGAGCAGCGAAATTTTCGGTCAGCCTCCAAGCGTACGGAGGATTTCTGACAAAGTCACCCTGAAAAAATGACGTGTGGACTATTATCACCCAAGCCATTGCCCAAAATCTTAGTCCGTGAATAATTGGCAAGGATTCCGCGGATAGTTTGGTTTTTGTCCATTTTTTCACGTTGGAATATATTGAGAAACATTTCAGGATTTCAACTAGAATTGAGCTCTGCTGGTTTTCGCTTGATGATGTTGAAAGTAGCTCAACTTGAGGCACTAGAATAAAATTACTTATTTTACTCAGCGTTTTAATTATTTGAGTACTTACATCCTGAGCCATTTTCAGTTAACTTTCCGTTATTATTAAACTTATTATTGTTGCCTCGCATCATATTTTTATGCCTGTTGTGTTGCTTGACATCAATTATTGTACCAAAGACAGTAAAAATTAATATAATCGCCATAAAAACCCTACAAAATGAATAATTTAAAACAAATATATATACAGACTACTAGACACATAGGCTTTATTGGGACCAGTTGACTGATGTCCAATTCACTACAGCCGGTTGTAAACCTATACTTACAAAAATGTTATAGTTTTTGGAAGCATTAAAATGCCCAGTGGTTTTTCTTCTAGAAGCCTCACTTGTGTAACATCCAAACTCATATGAAATTCTTTTTGAAATTCCAAAGTAAAATTCGAAAAATATCGTTTTGATAAATTTAAAACGTCTTCTTTGGTGCACGATTTTGGTATGCACAGCCCTAATTGAACTACATACTAAAAAATTTGCTTCAATAAATATTGTTAAAAATACGTATAATTTACTAACATCTAAAGGCAATCTCATATGATACTGAAAAGTACTGTTGTGCAACATCATAACCATAGCAAATCTGAGCTGGTAAGGTGGATAATCGAACGGCGTGTCGGTGTGATTGGCTTTTTCCAGTCTTATTTCGAATTGTTTCCGATTCTGGATGTCGATACATTGCGTATGGGAGCCTATCCACAAATTGTCGCCGTAGAGGAAACCTACTGGAGGTCTACCACTCGAATCCAAAACTAGAATTTCAGAAGTTTTACAAATATTTTCAGTATTGCTGTCAAATCACTCCAGTAAACATTAAATAGATCATCGAATTTTCTGAAAAAGCTGATGTGCAATGTAAGTCGCTTTACCTGATGCTTCTCGTATCGATCGTTGATACTGTTTTTCTGAAGCTTTCAATTCTTTTTTTTTTTCTAATTGATTTGTAAGAGGACAACAAATGTTTGGGTGTTGTTTTTGAAGCTTCTAGTCTCTAGTTACGTAAATTTCTACCTTGAATTTATGTAGCTGTATTTACTTAGGCTTATGGGATGTTTTTTTCCTTCTTTCTCATTATCCAGGATTCACATATGAAGGTACTTTTAATTTATATTATTTAATAAAAATACCCTATAATTGATACATTTTGATAGTTTAAAGTTACTTTGTTTCATTTTTAGCAGAATTTTTAACAAAAATTAGTTTACCCAACCAGTATTGCATTGAGCCCATGAAACCTTGAAACCTAATTATTCATAATGCCATAAGTCTTAATTTTATGACACAAAACGAAATTAAATTTTATTTTATTTTAGCTGCAAGTGATTTTGCAATAATAATTATGCACTAAACAAAGTTAGATTTTAATTGGTACCTTTATGGTTGCTTTAAGGTGAATCAAATTGTTACAAAATGCGGCCCTGGATCTTATAAATCTAAACGAATTTTGCAACCGTCTACAAAAAAAAATAATGCTGATTATTAGAAAACTATTGCAAAGTGTATGACCCGAATAGAAATAATAATACCGATTCAATTTTTCAAAAAATCTAAAAATATACTGTATGCATTTTCCAAATTCTTACCTTTTATTGCCCATAGTTTTTCTTCGTCAACGGCCTGTTTAAACTCTCTCAACTCTTTAAAACACGATTGATTAAAATTTTCGTCGTTAGCCAATGAGGCTAAACCGTAAATGGGGCTAATCGCCCCCCTAAAACTACCCTCGCAACCAACTCCGACAAAAAATATTATCAAACAACTAAAAATTTTTGAATTGGCCATTTTACGCGCGCACCTGTAACTTTTTGAAAACAAAATATTCCGATCAAGTTTATATTGGGAAATCTACCTACTCCTGGTGGTACTGATGGTGGGGGTGTGCGATGGTACTCGAAATAGTAACTGCGTGATTAACAATTCATTCATTAATAATAGATTTTAATCAAATGTACCATAGGTATTTGAATTTGAAGTAACACAATGGATCAAAAATCATAAATTTTGAGACTTTGAATTGATTGGCAAATAAAATCAATTTGTACTCTTAATAAGATTCAAAAGATTTTAAATTGAATTTGTTTTCCTCGGATCAATTATTAATAAGCATTCGATACTCGGCTATTTTATGACTAATTGAGTCCAAACAAGGCTGATTTTGATCAGCTTTAAGAATGGAAAAAGGCAAAAGATTTCAGTTTGGATCGATAATGACAGAGAAATTTTTTTTTTTAGTTGCAAAGAATTCAGAGCTTTTTCATCAAGGAATATGCAGTGTTTTTAAACATTATTATTAATCGATTTTTCACCAAGGATCATTCTCAAGGGTAGCTCCTATAGTTGAAAAAAATAGATAATTATTATTATTTTACAAAAATTGAACAAAAATTCATATTGAACGTTTAACCAAACCATTAATTTAATGCTAATTGAAATTATTATTCATTGTTCAAAGAATTCCCTGTTTTTTTTTTCCTATTCTTACATAATTTACGCATGTATTACAATTTTTCTTCTTCCGTTTATCTGTTTTTGGTATTTTTATCATGATAGAAGAAAATTGGAAATTAAATTGCAATCAGCATTGACAAAAATACTGTGCATTAAAACATCTGTATGCCCTTTGGAAAAATACCTAAATTAGTTTTTTTTTTTTCAATTAAAATTCGTTAATTTCCCTAATATTATATGCACGCATATTGGGCTAAAATAACCGCAGCCACTTGTCATCAATTAGTGGGACTATCTACCTTTATAATTAAAATGATTGATATTGATAAACCTTTTAATTATTGTATTATTCCGTTGCGTTTGGTCAACTATATCATCATAAAAACCCATTATTAATGATGCTATACTTCATTTTTAAATTAAAAATAAAAATTAGGGGAGACACCAAGGTCTAATCTCTCTCTTACGCCTAACAGATACATATATGGAAACTGAATTTTACTATCAAAATTTACAGAATTAAAATATGTATTTTATTTCCGTAAACTTTGATTTTACCTTCTTCGCACCAAAAAAAAAAAACACATTTCGAAGATTCTAGTCCGGGGGCCGAGGACCTTTTTTCCAAATCATTAATAACAAGCTAGTTTTTTCAATGCAGCTTCATTTCACCGAGACGCCCAACTTTTTTCTCTTCGAAAATTGCAAAAACAGGTAGCTAACATACTGCGCAGGTGTAAAACATGTCGATTTGGTGACTATGAAAATTTAATTAATAACAATTAGTTTTTCAGCTAAATGTTGAGATAATTTTATGAATAATTTGAAACAACATTTGTCCGACAAAATAAGGGGTTTGGTCTACGATGTCCCCCCCCTCAAACATGTAGCAATAACGTTGCATAAAAAATGATTAATAACAAGTTGATTTTTTCAATGTAGGTTGGTAAATATTATTACAATTAAATGGTCACACTGTCCTACAAATAAACAGGTAGCTATTTTCAGTCCTACACTCAAAAGTTGTCGATTTCACGATTTACCTTTTTTCATTAATAACCGGCTAAATCTTCGTGAGTATCTTCATTTTGATAAGACGCCCAAATTTTCTGTTGCGAAAATTCCAAAAACAGGTAGCTAACAGAGTGCGCAGGTGGAAAACATGTCTATTTGGTGATCATACAAATGTAAATAATAACAGTTAATTTTGTAGCTGAATGTTGAGATAGTTTCATAAATAATATGAAACAACATTTGTCCGACAAAATAAATGGTCTGATCTAGGCTGTCTCCCTTCTCAAACCTGTAGCAGATACGTTACATAAAAAATGATTTAAAACCAGTTGATTTTTTTAATGTAGCTTAGTAAATATTACTACAATTAAATGGTTACACTGTCCTACAAATAAAGAGGTACATTTCTCCAGTCCTACACTCAAAAGTTGTCGACTTCACGGTAATACTTTATTCATCAATCACCGTACACCGGCTTAATCTTCTCGAGCATCTTCGTATTGATAATACGCCTAACTTTTCTATTGCGAAAAGTTGCAAAAGTAGTAACTACTAGAGTGAGCATTAGTGAGCACATGTAAAATACCTTGATTAGGTGATTATGCAAATGTAATTATTAACAGTTAACAGTTAATTTTTCAGGTGAATAATGAGATAATTTTATAAATAATTCGAAATTCGATTTGAGCCACAAAATAAATGGTTTGGTCTGCAGTGTCCCCTTTCTCAAAAATGTAGCAATTACTGGCTCATAAAAAACGATTTATAACCAGTTGATTTTTTTACTGTAGTTTGGTAAATATAACTACAATTAAATGGTCACATTGTCCTAAAGAGGTAAGATTTCTCAGCCCTACATTCGAGAATTTCGAAAATAGCCTTATGCATATTATACGTAAATATGTACAGGGCTTTCATTTCAAAACTTGCCACTCACGTTATCTGCGTAAATAGACAGATTTCTAGAAATCGCCGAAACATGTCAACAAATTTATTGAGGGGGTGCGTTAATTTGTTGACGTGTTCCGGCGATTTCCAGAAATCTGTCTCTTTAGGCAGATAACGTGGGTGGCAAATTTCGAAATGAAAGCCCCTGTATGTACAGGGTGGCCCGTTTAAGAGGGGCCTATACCTTATCTCGAAATCTACAAGTGCTGTAAAAAAAACTTAAATACAAAAGTTGTTTCTAATAAAATTATCTACAACTTTTTTGTATTTTTGTTATTGTCACTCTACTATATACAGGGTGGACAAATAAAATTTCATTTTTTTTTAAATGGAACACCCTGTATTTTAATACATTTTAACATAGCTCTTTGAAAGACAAATTCAACGATATACTGGTCAGGTGTCTGTGATATATCGTTTTGAACTTATTAGCGATTATCTTCAGGATTTGGGGTAATTGTCAACAGTCATTGTTACGTTACTCATAAACTTTTAAAACTTTTTTCTACATGTTATTTTCCATAAAATAATGCTCTTCTTTAGACAATATTTAGATTTGAAATATTTGTATCAAAACATTCGGTGGTGCCACGTTTTGCAAAATGTTAGGCTTTTCAATTTTTTTAAATGAGACCTCCTGTAAATTTTCGAGTTTTTGGATAGCCCTTCAAAAGACAAATTTAACGATATACTGGACATGGATCTGTGATGCACCGTTTCGGCCTGATTGGCGTTTACCTTCAGTTCTAGCACAATATCACATGTCATCCCTGTTGAAAGAAAAAAATGTCTAATTTTGCAGTAGATTAGCTGAACTAATGCTTTTAATGCATTGATGGTGGCATTATTGAACAATTTTTTATACATTGATAAAGCACGTTAATAGACGGCCGACGGAAAATAGACATTAGGGAGATTTTGGACCAGTGAAAATAACATCAAAAATTACAGAAATATTCGTTAACTTTAATTACATTCAAGATAACGGAAAGTAAATAAAAACGAGTTTTTGGAGTGGATTTATGAATAACGATATTTGTGGTTATTTTATTATCTTGTTGTTTAACATAACTCTATAGTAAATATTTCGGACTTTCTTTTTCGCTGTTTTTTCTTTTCTGCGTTTGTATTTTGTAAAATTGTTTTGTTTTGTGTGATTTCCTGGCTAAATTGAAATGAATGAAAATATAGAAAATGTTATTAGAAGAGGCCTACCAGAAAACATAGATCTTGTTCGACAAATAATTTTGAGAAATGTTTTTGATTGGCAACAACAACCGCAAGTTCAAGAGGAACCCGAACCTGTATTTGATCAAAACAACAATACAAAATTCGCCCAGAAAAAAATAAACCACATAGGCCATTGTCCACATTAAACAAACTAAAATATTTGAGGTTAGAACATTATGCTGTCAAATGCATAAAGTCGAAAATCGCGTGTCGCTAGTGTCAAATAAGGAAAAAATTCGCTAAAGTTATTCGCCGTAAATAAAGTACCTTCGTTATCGTTACAAGCTCCGCCTCTTTCCTTTTTGAGTAATGCGCATGCTCAAAATCGGAATAACCACAAAAATCGTTATTAAAATACAGTTTTCACTGGTCCAAAATCTCCCTATTTTTGTGATTCACCAGGCGATTTGGACAGACGAAATATTGTGCTAGAACTGAAGATAATCAGGCCAAAACGGTGCATCACAGACCCATTTCTAGTATATCGTTGAATTTGTCTTTTATAGGGCTATCCAAAAATTCTGAAATTTACAGGAGGTCCCATTTGAATAAATTGAAAAGCGTAAAATTTAGCGAAACGTGGCAACACTGCGGTTTTTAAACAAATATTTCAAATTTGACTATAGTCTGAAGAAGAGCATTATTTTATAAAAAAATATCATGCAAAAAATGTTTTTTAAAAGTTTATGAGTAACGTAACAATGACTGTTTAAAATCACCCCAAAGCCTGAAAATAATCGCTGATAAGTTCGAAACGGTATATCACAGAGACATGACCAGTATATCGTTGATTTTTTCTTCCAAAAAGCTATGTAAAAATGTATTAAAATATAGGGTGTTCCATTTGAAAAAATCAAATTTTTATTTGTCCACCCTGTATATAGTAGAGTATCTACAAAAACAATACAAAAAAGTTGTAGATAATTTTATTAGAACCAACTTTTGTATTTAAGTTTTTTTCACAGCCTTTGTAGATTTCGAGATAAGGTATAGGCCCCTCTTAAACGGGCCACCCTGTACATATGTACGTATACAGATGCGTGTATAACAGTATATGTGTTATGTGTATGTACACATACCTACATTTATGTCGATGGTTTCCATTCGCATCGACGTGCATGCTCGTAAATAACACAGTATCGTAGTATAATAGGG